CTTGGATATTACTGTTATTGTTAATTTTCAGTCGTATGTTTTTTTATCGGACCACAAATATTCTTTTTCATAACTAATATATTTATGGCTGATATACATTTACGTTCTATTTTTAAAGGTAATCCTTATGGTGCAATGTATTCAGAAGTTCGTCGTCATGTTATGCTTAAAGATCCTAGTTTAGCTTCAAATCCTGAAAAATTAGATAAAATTACAATGAATCGTTTATTAAATGCTTTATCTACTCCAGTTTTAGTCAGTTCGAATGATGCACGCAATCAAAATACCACTTTCCCATTACGTAATAAAACACAAGCTTATCCTCAGTCGAAAAATTAACATCTCATTATGATCTTTTTATACCATCAGTTGCTTAATTAAATCTAAAGACATATGATCCTTCATTCATCGGTGCTTTTTATATTACTCTTCATTTTTTTTTGTACCGATATAATCTATTTGTGGAAATTAATTTTTTACTTATTCGTTTTTTCTCCTTCCTCTATGGTCTCTCTGTCTCCTTTTCTTGCTTACCCCTTATGTTTCGTTAGTCCCTTGTTGTTTTAATGAAAGCATTAATTTTCTCTGAATTATTGCATTTAATATTGAAAAAAAACGAAGCAGAAGTAAATTAAAATCAATAAACAAATAAAATTTTGAGAGAAAGAAGAACCAAGAGAAACTTATTAGAAAAACTGTTATTTTTCTCCTTCATCTATCCATTACAGTGAATATAATTGAATAATATAACTATGTATTTATTTGCTGTTACTATGATTATTCTTATTATTACTGTTACTTCTGAAATTACATATGATATAATCATTATATTATTATGTACAGTATTGTTATTTGAGAAATAAAAAATGATTGTCAATAAATCTACTTATTACCATATAACTAGTATGGTAACTTTTTTACAGCAATTTTTTTTCTGTATTTAATCATTGTTGTCTCTATGTGTATAATATTGTTATACAATTATATTCATGATATTAAGACCGGTCATTACCTTTCAGTTTATTTGCCAAAACTATTCTAAACATTTCACATTACTATATGCATATAATTGTCTAGTTTATTCTTGGAAATTTTTTTTATATTTTTCTTTTTTGTTGTTGAGAAAAGTATCTGTTTAAGAAATTTTGCATATTTCAGTGTACTCTTCAACTCATATTATTTTGTTTGTTGTTGTGTTCAATTATTAATTTGATAATGATTACAACAAAGTCATAATTTAATGGAAAACATGTAATTTTCAAATCATTTAGTATTTTGTTTGAATAAAGATTCATAAAAAGACAGATGTGTTGTTATACATGATTATATCGTGTTTTTGATATTCAATAAGACTAATTGTATTATATTAGATAGAGATGTTACATTATTCAATTTTGCTTGTTTTTAATTATTATTTCATATTATAAACTGTTAAAAAAGAGAATGAAGCTCAATCTGCTTTGTTTTCCATAATAAAAATAAAAATAAAGGTGAATATTTTCAATTAGGTTACATGACTAATGACAAAAAATTGTTGAGATAATTTACTAGTATTGAAGTTTATACTACCTCGCATTATCGTTATGTTTTTGGGCTGAAGTTATCGGTGATGTTTTCTATGTTCGCTAAATGTGTTTTATTCAACAATTTCAGTTATTTCCTTGTATATTTAATGGATAAGCAGTGGATCTAAGTGTAATTTTCATTGGAAATTCTCCTTTGAGATCTATTGTTTGCTATATTTGTGTTTTCTATTGAACTGTGCTAAACTGGAAATATTCATTGCAGACAGTTGTGAATAATTTCAGCAGCTTTGAATGAAATCATTAATGGAAATATACTTTAACGTGAAACATTCAATGACTAAATAAACTCAGAAACGACAGGGAATACAAGTTACAGAACACAGTAAACATTCAGAACGGTGCGGATAACCTCAGCTATATTGTTTGCTAACACTAAAAGAAACCTAGTTTATCATTGCAAAGATTAGTGACATTCATTATTGTATGTGAATAGCAAAACACTCTCACTATCCATACCCGTTATTATCTATGTTACTGTAGATACTGATAAAATTTGTTTGACTTGTTGGATTTCCTCAAAATTTCGAATCAATTTTCTTTACTGAAATGACCATTACCAGATATTACAGCGAAGTGTACTGACGATATACTTGTGCTTCCACATGTCTACATATCTTGGGGTGCAGATTTATATTTGTCTGTTCATAACTAAGTGTTGTGACGGGCGGGGTCCGTCATCTGATGCTGATACACGTTGTACAACGCGCTAACCCTTTAACTGACTAGGTGAGCGAGAACACAAAATTGAACAAGTAAGTGTATTAGGTTATCAAGTAAAATGCACAAATACTCATTTACATTTATACCACTCTAATCTTCAGGAAATCGATCCACTTCTTAACCAGTGAAAGGCACTTTTGATCCACATCCACAGACCTCATTAGGCTACTTCTGATTGGCTTTCCATATCACTAAGACATCTCTTTATTTTGATATATATATATCTTGTGTGACAAGCTATAGGATTTCTGTATATTGTTTAATTTAATGATTGATTTGGAATACTATAAAATTTGTTCGCTATTGTAATCACATCAAATCTCACATTTCGGATTTTCAAATTTCGTAATCGTAAGTATGACATAATATGAATTTGTTTTGAATGTGAAATCTTTTCACGAAATGGAAAATATGGTTATTTGTTTCGGCTTATTTTTAACGTAACCGGAACGCATCAATTTAAGATGAGAAATCGAAGGTGCAGTTAACACATACTGCAGGCTAATATGTGATGATTAAATTTTATACCTGTCTTTTGATGAAATATACTATGGATGCAGTCTGTTAAAAGAAATAGATTACCTATCACATATCAAAACTATCTTGCCATCAAATGGAAGGTTTTGTTCATAAATAAACATCCACTACAAACATACGTAGTAAATCGCAAATAGTGGAATACAGATCCGACACTAACTCAAAGAATTATATGTACCTAGTTTTGGCTAAAAATATTACGATAAAATTTTAACCATTCTTGATTGAGGCCCCCGGTCCCAGCGTCGGCAAATAATGCACAACGTGGAATTCTCTGGGACGACATTTGTAGAACATTTCCAAGCCACCGAAGTTAGTGCTTCAAGATAGTGACAACAATCAAACTATCGTCGCTATACCCGAACACACAATTCCGAACCGCTGCATTACTCACGTGGTATTGTCACTGAATATCAGCAATCCTTCGGAGACAACGATGATCAAACACAGACAGTCGTCTAACATCCTCAACTCGGAGAGGCCAGGTCTCACAAGCCTAGAGCAGAACTGCTCTCACCGACGCGTTGTAGATCCGACATTTTACAGCCAGACTGACATCACGAAGGCGTCAAAGATGGCCCAAATTTGCATAAGCTGCTCTCGCTTTCACCGTATGTGAGTTGATCTCATCACTCACGCCACCACCAACACTTACGCAACAACCCATATACACGAACGTCTGGACTACTTTTATCCGCTCACAACCCAGAGTGCAGGGTCGTGCCAATCTTGTAGAAGTACTTTGCACTTCGAAGGTGTAAAGTACATACCATACCTACGGACACTGATTGCCAACTGATTAAGTGCGGATTGCATGGCTTGGGCATTATCGCACAGTGAGACAATACCATCCTCATACCTAAGGTCGAGAAGTCTTGCTCCAGGAAAAAGATCTACACCACCATTCTCTACATCCATAAGGGCTGTTTCCAGAATGTCGTCGATAGCAAAGTTGAAGAGGAATGGTGAGACTGGGCAACCCTGTCTAACCCCACTGCTCGAATGGAACAATGGAGAGAGGTGGTTGTATATAGGGCTTTTAATATGTTAATGAAGTATACCCTTCTTCAACAGACAATCCCAGAGAACAGTCCTGTCCAACGAATCGCAGACAGCCCTGATGTCAAGAAACACTACGATTGTTGGCCTGTGACAAAATTGAATATATTAGTGACGCATTATAAAGGAAATAAAAACGAATGTTATTATATGATTGTGAACAAGATTTGTCTGAGTGAGGATTGAAGCAAGAGAAAATTTTCCAGAAGTAGTTATCATTAATATGTACAAGGTTTGTGATACTGCCCGGGTGTCCTAATCGAAGGAAGGGCACACTCAGAGCCTCTAATCTGAAGGTCTAATCCACAAAGCAGTAGTGCAACGTGAGGAGATGCAGTCTCATGTTAGCCCGTGGCCGACAATTGGTTCATATGTCATTCGTTCCTTCAGGATCCTGGAGCCCATTTGCAGCATTGGTTTGGAATCTGGGTTTTCCAACTCCCCTATGTGGATATCTCTGTGCCCACCAATCCTGTTAAAGCGCCGAAAATTCTCTCTTCGTGTGTCTGAAACGCATGATTCATATCTCAGAGGCTGAGATTGGTGTTCTGGACTTGATATGCAGGGATAGGCGGGAAGCAGGACCGATAAGAACTCTAGACGGCTCGTACGGGTTTACGTGTCAATAGTCCGGTCGATTATTCACTGTACTCTAATTGGCGGTATCATTACGTTATATACTGATAGGGACACAAACGTACAAGTTATAAAAAATATAATAAGCAAATAACCACCACATAGTGTTTTTCATTTAAACATCACTGCATAAAAAAAAACAATATTTTTACAATGAGAGAGTGCTCAAGAGGGAACATAACAACGGTTTCTTGATTATCACATTCGTGTATGATATGATCACTGAAATATGTGGGTAGACAAATATAGAGAGGAAAAAACGTTTCAAAAAATACCTGAACTACATGAACAACATCAAAAGTTATGATTTATAAATGGTCCCAACACAAAAGACAATCGAAAATATAAACGTGTCTACATATTTAACTACTGAAATTAAATTTCAGTAATCCCAAAATATTAGAAACAGTATGAAAAGAAAACGCTTGATATGTATTGGTAGATTAGTTCTGTTTTATTGATTTAAAAGTAACGTTGTTGAAATTCGTGATGCCACTGATTGAAGTCAACGTAGAACACAATCAGACTACCAGATTTCAGACCAGCGAAAATAAATCTAAAAGACACGAAAAATTACATATTTCTTATCAAATATTGATCATAAGCAGCAATATGTACTGATGATCTGTATGACTGTATTGTCAATGAAAAATTTAATTGGAATAAAATAATAGAATAACTGCTGAAATTGAAATTCAGTAATCATCAGAAGTTTGAGTATTATAGCATTTGAGAATTTTTAAGTTATAATACATTAAATTGCTCTTTTTCACAGTAAAATTTACTGGTTACTTATCGTTTGATTTAATTATTAATAATAATAATCGATTCGTTCAACATTGTATGCTGAGTACACTATGGAGTTGTCAAGAACAACTGTAACAGTGTTAGTAGTGATAGTTCATCTGATGAACCGTTTAGGAATTAATCATATCATCATTATTATTTTCACAAGCTGAATTTTATATTTATTGCCAAACTGGAAATATTGAAAGAATGAACAGGTTATTTATGAGAAGTTAAATATCATTGAGTGATTACAATTAGAGGTTGACTTTGGATCCATAGAAGAAATTTCACTGTAGAGAAGAAGTATTAAGCCATATGTTTGTATAATCGGTATCTATTAGAATATAACGATCTCAAAAGATTTGCATTGTTAAGAGTAATTGTATTTTATGGTTAGAAATGAATTAGAAGGAAACAAATAGATGGAATAATAATAAGAATTCAATCATTTCGATGAATTCTCAAAACTTGTTTTCTTAACTCACTTTTCAAGAAATTCAAACACATCATTGATGCTAAGCATATAACCTAAAGTTTGAACTAACAATTTATGACTACATAAATTTTCATTGTATTTTGATTTCGATTACTTTATTCCTATCAGAATAGGGATTTGTGGAGATTGTAGTAATTTAATGGTTGAATTCATGAGTCGATTAAAGCTAGACCACCATGGAAAACCTGTAAGCACTGGAAGGCCGTTTCGTCTCAGTATGGGACTCCTCAACAGCGCGCACCTACGATTCCGCACGCGGGATTCGAACCCAGAACCTTCGGTCTCGCGCATGAAAGCGTAACTTCTAGACCACTGATGCACCATCAGATGGTGTTCATGTCTAACTTTAACCAACCCATGATATTGCGCACTGCTGAGGAGCCCCATACTAAGACGAAACGTCCGTAAACCGCTTCCAGGTTTTCAATGGTTGTCTAGCTATAATCGAATCATGAATTCAACCATTTAATTATTATATTCCTGTTTTAAATAAGGTATTGTGTAAAAGTAGGCTGCGGTACAACATACACACGTATAATCAAATCATTATACTTGGTGCAGATTTTTAATGTCATTGATTAATTTTCGTTACATATTAACAAGTGTATTTTTAGTATTGCTTATTGAATGGTTTGTGTACATCTAAACAAATAATCAACATCTTTAGAGCTATTTCTCTTCAAAAGTTGCCTTATAACCTCAAAGTAGTAAGGAAGAATTCGATAGCTATTTAGCATAATTGTGGCTTATCGAACAGTACTTCACTTTCATAAGGTGTCGAAGAAATTGGTTAGTTTACAAAACCTTTATTCTCGTCAAGTTATTTGATCTGAAAAGGTTACTTAATGTCGGAGGCTAAGTGGCAGTTTATCGTAATAGAGATAAAGCTAGGAAAATAAATCATACAGTTAAAAGCTTTCAATCTAAACTGTCAGATTCTGCATGGAGATATCTTATTTATCAAATTATATTATGAATTTATATGGATGCCCCTATAAAGATAAATTTGTCTCGATTCTTATTATCCTGTCATAAAAGATTAACTTTACGGAGACAGTAGAAGGGCTTATTGAGTCATTGGTGTTGAGACTAGTCATTTTTACAAGTGAAAATTACGCAAAACACGACGATAAACTAATTCGTACCATGATGACTATTGAACTCATAACGTTCGTTAACTCGTATTTTTTTCTCATTCTATCGTTCTGACATTAATTATTTCACAAATACGTTTTGATAAAAAAATATTCCTTCTGTACAAGAAACAGTCAATCGCTAATGCTACCAGATATGCATATTTCGATCACATGAAAACTAAGTTTTGACGAACAGTATTGAAATTAGAACGGATATCAATCAAACGAAGTTTCTGTACTTCAAATGAGAATATCAAAAGTATTGACGAAATAACAAGAATCAATAAACACGAAATTATATTTCCAATGGTGATATTAAAATGTAATGAATATATCTGATACATTGTATCTATTTTCAATTCATGCCACTTGAATCCTTTCATTATAAATTTATAATTATCTCTATAACTAAATCTAGGAAGTTTACTAATCCAACCAAAACTCAAAACAACAGTCAGTGACTTCATGAAACATCAAGATATTTTGGTTTGGCATTTGCTGTCTGTTTTCTTTTTCATTCTACTTTTACAATGCATTAACATTGAGCTTCCGATAAAAGTAATACAAAATACGATACAGGCAACCCGATTTCAACCCTAACACACAAGCAATGCGTTTTATGTATTTAAGGTCGATTAATCGGGGATTGAAGAGAGGATTAAGCATTCACAGAATATGAAATCCATAGTTAGCTAGTTTAATTTCGACTAACACAATTAATCACTATATAAACACAGTTTTTATTTTAAGCAAGTTATACAGAAACACTGGTAAAATAACAGTCACATAATTCTAGAGTATATAAACATTTATATATTAATATGAATAGTAAAAAACCAAGCATATCTTACCGTTGATCATAACTTAGGCACAACGATTCAATAGATGTATCACATTTAGGAAATGCATGAATTGGTAATAAATTATAACTTCTTAAAATCCATATAACACCATCATTACCGGCTATAAGAATGTAACGACCACAATTACTGAATAACACAGCATTAATTTGATATAAACAACTTGTGTTATTTGAAAGAATGCTTAAATCAGTAGTACGTAATAATTTTCCATTTAAAGTATAAATTGATAATTGTGATAGATTAAACAGACCAAGTAGATAACCTTCACGATGATAAGTGAGTAGATTCGGCTGAATTGGTGCTGTAACATCATTGTATACTATTGCAGTCGATGATGATGTTGAAGGTTGATGATTTAATATTGCTGTACATGGTGAAGGTAAGCAACGCAATAGTTCACCACGAGTTGAATGTAATAAACAAGTTCCATCTACATAGTAAGAACGTAAGCACATCAAGAAATAAAACCAATTATATGATATCAAAAAATTTTAATATTAGAAACACATGTTCTTCTTTACCAGTTTACAAGCTATGCCTGATGCACGCACATAGTCTGTATAGTGTAGAGTAGATTATATCGGTTTTATGGTGAGTTTCAATCCAATTGTTAAGGGGGCTATTGAAAATGACATTTCATTGACAAAAGTTGACAATAAAATCCGGAGACTGAAAATATGAGCGTATACATACATATATTAACTAATATATAAAACTGTGCGATAACTTGAATTTGATAATCGGTGTAGGCGTAAACTTCCCGAAATTAAAGAATTAGATTAGATCAAAAGTATCGATATTTATTACATAATTGAACTTCATTATACACAGCTTTTCAGTGAAACTTTGACAATCAATCTTGAAGTAAGTCTCGTATTCTAACAAGAACACTAACAGGATAGTAGATTGTATTTAAATGTTAATCAATTTGTAAAATATGGAATAAACCAAAGCCGATGATAAATTACTAAACAAGTAGAAATAATGAATTTTTGGAAACCAATCAAAATATTGCTTGAAATTGAATACTGATAAAATAAATATGTATATACTTACTCATTGATCCACTTAGAACTAATCCTAATTCAGCTGACAAACTGATACAATTAATACTTGTTTCATGACCATTTAGAATAAATAATGGTTTTGGTAAACCTATAAATCAGACAGACAAATAGGACAAATACTTAGTTTTAGCATACAGAATGTAAAAATAGCTAATCAAGGAATAATAATAATATAAAGGGCTAAATATGCTTGAAAAATCAGAATAGATGAAGGTAATAAAATAGAAATGAATAAATATTATTTCAAACTCATCGCAAGATATACATAAACAATATGAATAGATTGTTATAAATGAAACAAAAAATTCTTGGGAGAACAATACAGGAATGGTTTTGAATCAAACAACAGAATAATGCAACTCATTTGCTGAGTACACGTACATTTACTCGAGTCACATTATTCGTGAGTAGGCTAGTAATACTACCCCATAGCCAAAAATGAAGTAGACAGATCAGTATTTGAATTCAAGACATACTGGTCAAAATCTATCATTGTAGTTCACGTTGATAATCTTGATAATCTTAGAGATCAGTTTCTATTCAGTGAAATACAACACAAAAATGTAGAAGACAGAGTACTTTATTCAATTTAAGACTTTTTAGTGGCAGTCAAACATCACATCTTTAAACATCACTGTAACCATACTTTTGAATCAGTCAACTGTTTGCTAGACTTTTGTACAACAGAAATAACAATGAGATTTTTGCCGTCAACCAGTATTATATTTACATTTCACATCTAGTGTTCACTTAGAATTTACTTCTTTACAGAAACGTTTTAAGCTCAAAAATGAATTGAGGTATTAGTAAAGAACTACGTTGCACAAAGACTCATAATCTGAAATTTCGGAAAGTTGGCGTAAATTTATTTGCTGACTTCAAGTTAAGACTTCATTATGAAATTTCATTTGTAGATTGTGCACAAGACAACAGTACAATAGCGTTAAAGTCTCTTTAATCAATAGGTGTTTGGTCAGCTTTTTTCAACTATTACTGTTAGTACTCCGGACTAAATTTAGTTAATCGTTATTAACACATAGACTTCTTTACTGGATGCCTGAATAACATCATAGTGTGGTTCCCAATCACAATATGAATGTTTTTTCTGTTATATGTAAATCATTAAGAAATTGCACACTGGACAATAAACATAGTTTAACTAACTTTTAAATCCATTCCTTTATTCATGTATTTTTTGTTAGATTACGTTTGTTAAAAATGAGAATTTATTCAACAGCAGAACCTTTATAGCGTACATTATATTTAAACTTACACACGGTAACCGTATGTTTCTTTAGTGATCATCAAACAAATGAATAGTCTTTCTCAGTTAGTGTTTCAATTTCATGGAAACAAATTTAGTATATCTTGACCTTACAGAGCTAAAGAAACTCCAGTGAAGAAGTATGCAATTTCTTTCACATATATAATTACTTTCTTGTTGACCTAAAGTGATCTCGTAGATTGAATAATATTCTCGGTGTCTCAGGGTGAACATCATACTGAGATACTAATACACCAAGTTGACTAATACCGAATGGGGCGAAACCAGAGTTTTGAATTCGAATGATAGCAATATGCTAGGAAAATATTCTTAGCTTACTGACATTTTTCTTCAAACTCGTTCTACATCTATTTCAATCCTGTATAATAAAACTTCAATTATGACAGATCAAAATATTTACACAACTCAATGAAACATTTTGATTACTTTAAATATTATTATTGTTAAAAATATTATCACCACTAACAACCATTGACCAGCTGAAATGAAAGCGAATCCTCATGAAAATCTGGATGAAAATATTGTGGTTTAGAACGAAAATTATGGGAAATAGCTCAGAGAAAAATCAATATCAATAAAATTAGTTAGCGAAGAATTTTTGACTTAAATTATTACGTGAACTCAATAATCACATCGAACTGATTATTCACTTCATAGATTATTTAATTTCATTTTACTAGGTTAGTAGCAATAAATTCAAAATGACTTATATCACTGATTTATGACATTTAAAGAACCAGTGAAAACTAAGTGGGTATCTAATTATTTTATTGTCTCATCATATTACTCTTTAACAGTAAGAACAAACAACAATCGAAATTAGAACATTCAGTTGTCGTAGGAACTGAATTAATTTTAGATTACCGTAATCAGTGTTCAATAGTTCATTTAATCAACTATAATCTATTTACAATGTAGCACAATTTAATCTAATCCCATGGTTGAGTAACAATTATTTCATCTTTAATATGGTTGGAATTCATTAGTTATGACTTCTTACTGAGAGTTTCAGCAATTTAAATTCAAGTAAATCATCAGTTAACAGATGATAATTATTTATTTACGAAATGTTTATTATTAGATAAGTTTGAAATTTTAACGTTTTCCCTGTTTTCTTTTCAAAGTTTCATATTTAATATAAAGAACGAAAACTGAATACGATGGCATCTTGTGTATATTTGTTTTAAATTGTCTAATTTTTGCTGGAAAATTTAATGGTAAAAATTATTCACAGAAAATATTAAGAATGCAAATTTACCTTGACTATTGATAACGCATGAACGTTGTACACTAAACATCCACAACATCACGGTACAATCTCGACTACCAGAAGCTAAATAATGATACTGACTGAGATGACACTCTGAACGTGCTAAGCATGTAACAATATCACTATGCCCAAATACGGCTTGAATAAAACGACCTAAACATTTATTTAATTAGAAAAAAAGAAGGCAGATGAGTAAACAGTTCTAGAAATATGATTTAATATTACAATGAATAATGAAAAAATAAAACTGACAACATCCGACAGATTAGTTTAAATGAGCTGAGCAATTTTAAATTAATCTGAGAATAAGTATAACGTGTATCAAACTTGAAGATAATACATAAAGAAGTTGATTCCAACTTGGTGGTTTAAACGTAATGTCCTAGGCTACAAGACTTCAAGGTCCTAGATTTAATCTCTGGTTAATTCGTCGCTCAGCAAAATTCAAACGGATCATTAACTACGATGAAATAACTGTCCAATGCACTATGGTTTTCAATGTTCTTTTGACCAAAGTTAGTCCATAACGAAAACTGTCACGAAATCAAAAAGGCGTTCAAAAGCAACCAACTAGAAACTTGATAGGTTGGCAGATTCAAAGCAGTGCTTGAAAATCTTTTCAACAGTAACGATGTAACTGAGATCGTAATTGTTTTCATGGCTTAAGGTTCATAATTGTAGAGGTAAGCAAATTATGTTCAAGTCCTTAAAAACTAAGTATGAATTTTTTTAATGCTGAAGATATGCGTTGCCGATATCAGAACCAACACCAAACAGAAATCAGGAATGAACAGTTCCTAGTTATCTTTTAAAGTTATCTAACATAATTGAAATGAATTTACTTAAAAATGTCAACTGTATAAAACTAGAAGTAAATACACTTTCGGTTATTTCTATCAAATCAATTAAGTAAGAGATATAGATAAAAGATATTTAGAGGAAAATTCTTATATATTTCAAATTGTAACAATAGAAGACGAAATTTCATATCGAATATGTAAAACACAAGGTAAATATATATCATCAATTATTTATGAATAAATTACAAAGATGACACTGTGCTATGACGATAAAAAAAACACAAATTACCATTATTTGATCCATAAATACGAAATGATCTATCGTAATAACCGCATAATATTACAGCTCGACTATCAGCTGTTACAACAAATTGGTTGCTGGTGATTCGTATATTCTCATCAAAATCATGTCCTAAACAACGACCAAGTGCTGAAGATAGTTAAAAATAGAAATTTAAAAAAATACTACTAAAAACCAAAAATATTGAACAGTAAAGAAATGAATTTAAAAAAATAATGGAGTATTGTTGAAGACAATTAAGTAATAAATAAATATTGTCCATTGTCTAAGCAGACTTAAAGAATTGTTTTGAGACGGTTAAATCCTTTGTATACTTGATAGTGTTTATTCTAAACAAGTTTGTCAATTCATTGAAGTCATTTACGAGAAAATGAGTGGTTAAAGTAATGTAGGGGAGTAGCAGTATTGTTAATAAAGTGTCCAATCTCCAGTATTTTGTAAAAAATAAGTGAGCATACAATGTTTAACTAAGGAGAATACAAGTTTAAACAATGATTCCGAATTTATCAGACTTAAATTATAGTTCACAAAGTAAGTGTATCAGTCTAATAAAACTTGTAATAATAAATACTCACGTAAAACTATTTCTGATTTTAAAGGTAAACCATGTACTTGATCTGGCCCATGTTTTGTTGATATATTTTCTTTCAAATGTGATGATGACATAGATTGACTGGTAACACCAGAAGATGAGGGCATAAAAGAAGCATTGGAACTATGCGGTAACGATACAGAGGATTCATTATTTTTATTGGTGTTGTTAGATGAAATTTTAGGATGTTGGATTTGTGGATCTTGATTATTCATCATCATATCAGTTGAATACACTTCGGAGTTGATGCGAGCTATCCATCCATTTCCATAATAACAAGAAAAATGGAAGTATTAAATATATGGCTTTGTTAGTAATTAAATAAACATATCATTTAACTAAAATCACATATATTACAATGAATGGTTAAACTTGTGTATTTTAATTTTTCTTCAATAAACTAAAATCAGAATTCATACCATGATGATGAATATTAGTAGATTCAGAGGAGGACATCACAGTCCGATAGTTACATTTGAATTCTTTGATAGTCTTTCTAGACAATATCATTGACACACATTTTCAAGACAAGAACTGACTAACAGCATGTTCAATTGACCTAAAGTTTAATTGGTTTCTTTTATTTCCAAAATTCACATCAATTACTTAGGATAGTCATTTATACGACAAAACATATGTAGTTTTACAGAACTACTACCTAATAAACAAACTATAATAATAGTTTTGGAATGAATAATGAATAGACATTATTGATTTAATTGAGAATACAATCAATCTTTAAAATCGTAAGTACAGTTGAAATTTCTCTAGATATGTAAACTTATCTTTCTGTATTAAAGAGGAAGAATGTATTTGTAAAATCTCAGCGAAAGAATTTGAAGTAAATCCAACGTTTCGCCTGGCAAAGAAAAAGCTTGGACTAGATTGCCATGCGAAAGGTTGGATTTACTTGAAATTCTTTCGTTGAGATTTTACAAATACATTCTTCCTCTTGAATGACTCACATTAACTCGACGCCCGAATACTGTGAAACTATTCGTTCAAATTTAGACGAAAGTTCTTATTTATTATCTTTCGGTATATAAATTTTGTTGGCTTACCGTTATAAAATGAAAGTAATGCAAGTTACCTGATGATGTGTATAGTTTAAAAAACAAAAGCGAACTGAATTGCTTGTCAAAAATAATCTAAAATGATCTGTTAAATCACATCTCATTAAAATATTAAAATTATACATAATAGTAACTGTGTAAAACTATTGAGAAAAATTTTTGTTGAGGATTTCTATAACTAAATATTGTTGATTACACTTTTCATAAGTAAAATGTCAGGCAAATTTGAATATTGGTTCTTTGTTTTAGTCTTAAAATAATCAGCAAAATTAATCTTTTATCAAACTGAATGAAAAACATAAGTCAATAAATGAGTAATAGATAAAGTGATCTAAGATTTCAAATAGTCAAATCAAGTTGCATAGTAATCAAAAGGTAAAAGATAAAATAGGAGAAAGGATGTAACTTATAGGTCAGATATATGAGAGATGATTGTTCATTTAACAGATATGAAGAAAAACGAGAGAAAAAAACGTGACCAATTTACTATTTACCTTTTCGATATACTGCATCTGAAAGAGAAGAAATTAAAAAAAGCATATTAATAAACTACATATTACATTCAAATTCATATAAATTAAAACGATAAAAACTAATAAATTCTTTATTCATAGAATGGGTTTTTGTGGAGAGTTTTAGAAATATCACAGGTTGAAATCATGAGTCAATTGAAGCTAGACCACCATTGAAAACCTGGAAGTACTGGACGGCCGTTTCGTCCTGGTATGGGACTACTCAGCAATGGTTCGAGCCCCGAGTGGTGCGGGATCGTGGATGCGCATTGCTGAAGAGTCCCATACCAGGACGAAACGGCCATCCAGTGCTTCCAGGTTTTCAATGGTGGTCTAGCATCAACTGACTCATGATTTCAACCTGTGAAATTTCTTTATTCATAATTACTGATACCGTTGATTCTTACACAGAACAAAGATTATTATAAAAGCTTTGGCTAGTTTCGATTCTCATTAAGATTATTAACACTTTCGATCACTCCTCTGACAAATAAAGGATATTAGATCACAAATGTGAGTTAGTCCTTATGAAGAAATAATTCTCACAATCAACAAGCTAGCCGTTGTATACATATCCTAACATTAATGTAAGTCAATGAAACATTAAAAGAAAATGGTTTCCAGTCTAAGAAATCATAAGTCTTCAGTAACAAGTATCAATAAGTGAGAGAATAGAATTCATGGCTTCTTATTGATAGACTTTAAAAAACTGAATATACACGTAATAATTTCATTGATATATAATTATAAGAAATTAACTATGTAAAAATACAATTAACAAAGTGATTCTATTCTCCTTTCAATAGGTATGTGTAATTAGATGATTTTAGTCAAATATGCACAAAACATTAGGACAATATTATCGTCAATCATATTCAATTTGACATAGAATGCAACAATCCCAGTCAGTCAGTCATCTGCAACGTACGAACAGGAACATATACGCATCGGTCAAAGTTGTCATACCCCACTCATACACGTACAACACGATGAACACCAAATTCACAGTAGCAGTTACTTCAATGGTAGTAATATATAAAAAAAAATTGTGTATAAGAATATGATACAGGAAGGAATTAGTTAGTAAAAAGAAAGATATAAAGCAATCTCACAGTTTAAGGGAAGATAAAGTGTACACACCGACACCATTGTGAACGATTTTGAGTAATATCATCAAAAAAATGCAACAATCTATTATCATTAAGAGGTAAAAAATAAGTTATAATATTAATTGCACACAGAAATTGTATTAAGTGAATAAACTAATTCTATTCATAAAAATTTGTATTAAGTTTCTAACTACAGTTATCCTCTGTAATAACAATAATAAATCAGTAGAAGGTTAATGAATCAGTGAAATATTCAGTTATTATTTTAATTAAACAACCATGAATGAGAATTATTGATGTAAACCGAATTTTTCCCAGGAAAAATTAAGTGAATAACCAAGACAATGAATTTAATGACGAGAACATAGTTTATGAATGATCTTTGAGTAACACTAAAGAATCCTTAACAAACCTGAACAACTTACTAGAGTCGAAAAAGGGTTATGAAATAGTTTGAAGAGTTTAAATAAACAATAAAAGTTGGAAATTAACATTAAGAATGAGAATAAAAGTTTTCATCATAAACTAACATTAACTTTAATGTCAAAATATTTTAAAGCTGTGTATAGGTGTAAATAAAGTTTGTGCAAAACAACAAACGCCGTGTTAAATCTCATTGATTCGTTTATAAATAATTATAGTCCTATCAATTTAATCTATGCAACCTGTAATTGATATTCATACAATTATTCGCTATGATTCAAATTAAAGTAGGCTAGTGTTGTAATAACTAGTGTTGATAATTGAAGAGACTAGGTAACATTCATGATGATAATCATCATGGAATAGAATGTAACTTGAAGTTTTATTTTTGTATTATTTATTTTGTTTCATTTTTTTTTAAATAATAAAAAACAGAATGTAGTGTAAATTTACTAGTCATTTTTTTCAAGTGTCGATCATTACCTCAGCAAACAAATGAAAATTTTAATTAATTTTCGAAAAAAAAACAACAATAACAGGAAAATACCTGCAGCTAAACTATTCCATTTACAAACTACTATAGTTCTATTTTCAGTTATAGCAAACACCGAAGGAAACGGTAGAACTTTTGATGATGTATTACTGAATAAATATACAACTGGGGAATGTGACTGAAATTTTAAACTCATACAAAACTCTTCATTAAGTAGATTAAATATTTCAGGGTTATGATGTAGAGCTGAATTTCTTCGTGGATGAGGTTTGGTCAACAATTGACCTGGTGTTTGACCAAAACTTTGAATTTGATCTTGAATGGCTTTGATTAAAAGAGAATCGGTAATCTGTTTAAGGAAAGAAAAATAAATACAAGGTAAGATGATAAACAAAATATAAAGATAAATATGATTCAAATTATTATTGATATTTCGACAAGACGAATCTACTTTTTCTTCACATTAGCCATAGACCAGTGGTTTAAAGAATAGATTAAAAATAAACCAGTTAGCTGTAATTTTAATCACTTTATCTGTCAACGTATGTCTAACCAGGTAGTAAAATTAGTACACCTCATCTAGTTGGTATAGTTATTTAGTTGAATATATTAGTATTTGATGTGTTAACTTACACTTTATTTTTCGATATATGGAAAAACTATGTATATGAATTAATCATTAGGAAAATCTTTATTTGTGATATCTATTTAACACATCCATGATTCCTCTGTCTGACTGTTTTAACCCTAAGTGATCCTTTAGGAATTTCCTCAGTAGTTGAAGGACAACTATTCCCCAGTTGAAACATATGCCATCACATTTATGCAGACTGATCATTCAGAAATACAATCCTTAAAGCATGCAAACAGATCTTTAAGTCGATGGATTATGTTGAGCATCAAGTTCGTATTAGATTAACTGTGGTATGTTAACTACAAACATGTTTTCTGCAAACAGTCAATATTTTAGGTTCGTGTACATCCTCATGTGTTCAGAACTATCCAAACTATATGAGTAAAACCTGCTAAATGTAGTAAGTACATCTTTACATGAAGTGAACCGATTACGCCTGTAAATTGGCATGGCTTCTGAAGTTGTCTGTAAATATTACTTTTATTATTATTGACGTGTTGAATAATACTGGAAGAAAACGGATTAATTAATTATTTCCAATTTCATTATCACCTTAATTAATAGATTGTTTATAGAGAGATTTATAGATTTCTTATATGTACACTTACCCTGTTTTATTGATTCTTTAACAATCAGACAATATGTAAAAATGAAGTTGTATCATAGTAGTAATTGAAAAACTAATTCGCAAAGTTAATTACGTTATACATTTAAAACAAACTTTATTCACCTTATCCCAATCGACAGTTCCATCATAGGTTAAATAATGAAATACATTAGTAGCACGAACGGCTTCAGGTCCACGTTGTTTATAACCAAATATAAGATCAATCCAATTATGTAATTGACATGAAACTAATTCAGATTCTAATGCCTTTAATAAATTGTAAAAGAATATCAAGTAGATTAAGTACATTAAGAACAAAATATAGAATCAATTCATTTTTGTATTTGTTATTTGAGTCTTCTCACTGATGTTTGGAACTGCAATTAATCAGTCTCGCATTGACATATGTGCCTTAAGGCAAAAACAGTATAAGCAGGGATGGATGGTGGCTAGCAGTTGAATCCAGGACGCGCGTTTCGTCCTAGTTAGGACTCATCAGCTGGATAAACCCGCATTCGAGTTGATGTTCACTTGGGGAGTCGAACCCAGTGCCACTCGTTTCAAACTTCATAGCGTTATTCACTTAGATACTGAGTCGAGACATCCACTATCTTGTGCAATGGTGTGAAGTTCAATTCATTTTTGTATTCGTTAACTGGATCATCCTATTGATGTTTAAGATCACAATAGATCAGTCTCTTATTGACATTTGTGCATCCTGTGCGAATTGTCTCGGTATTACCTTAAGTCACAAGCATTATAAGCAGAGATGATGTAGAATTGTTAGTATTAATTAAAACATTCTCATCAATGAATTTGTACGATTCCATGCATGTCATAAGATAATAATAGACAAGAATAAAAAAGAAATCAATACGGACTACTGATTATTCAAAAGGTGCATTATATTCGTCTATTAAAGATAACTACTTCTAAGCTTGAAAATAAATATATCATTCTATTTTTAATTGTTTAATCTTTAAATCTTCGACATAGATAATGAAAGCACAATTTGAGACTAAATTCTGAATTAAGTAGTTATGACATTTAGCAAGTATATTCAGCTTCTTTAGCCTTGGTACTAGACGATTTAATGTATGCAGTTTCTTGGTGAAGACATGTAAAGAATGTTAGTATAGTTATTACCAGTCACTAACAATGGGTACGAAGATGATCAATACCGCGATTATTCTGCTGGAAAAAAATATAATGAACATAATTTGAACGAGAGTTAATGTCATCTTATGACAAAATGCAGTAAAACTATTAGATTATTTTAAAAATACATGAATATTTACAAAATATGTGTAGTTTTATTGAATTTCAAGGATTCGAAATTTACACCAATTACTGAATATGAACAATTACGTATTGTAGCCAGATATCTAGTATTAAGAATGGATAAACATTTTACTGCTAAAATATAATTACACATCGTAATTTAGTAGTAGCTACCTATCGAAAAAAATAGAGAAGATAAGTTGTATTCTATGAAAACGTAATTCAAATTTTATAATGTGGAGATTCCAAGTTAAAGTTTAAAAAAAGTCAGCGATTTTACTTTCGAAGTATAGGCTAATTAGGCGTAAAAAATACATATCAAGCCAATCAAGTGAATCAGCCAAGAAATTTATGCTAAAGGTTACATGTGCAGAAATAAAAGTCCACAGTCAACTGAAAACTTCGAATACTATAATGTTCATAACTGTAAATAATCTCACAGTCATATTCACTTTCCATCTTTTAAAGTGACTGATTAATAATAATAGTAGTATTTAGTATAGTTTATACAGATATACTGTCAATAAGAAAAACACTTTAGGAGGAGTTCCGAGAAATAAAACACAATAAGAAAAGCGCCAAAATATAAAATAGAATTCTTTTAGAAAAAGCACCCACAGAAATCTATCCTACCTCACGGTTGATTCGGACAAATTCTTCAGGTGATTTTGCCCATGGTGGAAGTATCACAGTGTCAACATTTATACCATCATCTGTGACGCCTAAATCAAGATCATTTAAATTCTCAAACATTTCAGGGAAGTAGAAGAATTCTGGAATTAATTCTTTCACATCAGATGTATTAATTTGACAATTTTCCCATGTTTTAGCAACTGAATGAAATATTCGATCGGGGTGGTCGAATTTTCCACCCTTTTTCATTAAAGGATATGAAAGAAAAGTGAAAATTAATACAAGAAAGATAAAAAAAATAGTTAGTCATAGGCATATACCACTACTGGAAATAACAGACTTTGTAGAAATAGTTGATCCTACAGCTCAACACAATCACATTAGACCATATTAAATGAACCAAACATTGATAAATCCAGCATCATATTAACATGTCAACCTACAGTTTGATATTTTGTGTTCCGAGAACATTGACTGGCAGAACTAAAAGATTAATTAATTTTTTGTGGGTGGACTATTTCTATGATTCTGACAACACAGTTACCTACATATATTGAGTCGTCACATTGGTTCAAACTGATAATAATGATAGAAGTACGTTAAATTTGTATAACAATATAATTTTGAAATAAAAAATGGAATACGTATCGCTCATTAAACAGATCAAAATCTCCTCACCAACATGTCGAGATCAGTAGGATTAGTTGGTATACAAATATGCCAATACCTTTACTTAAACAACAAAATAATAACAGAATGACTAATAAAAAACACTAGCGGTAATTTTATTTTTATTGGTTAACTTGAAACATTCAAAAGCATTAATGTTTATTTTTACAAAACAAACTATATAATCCACATAGACTCCAAAACAGTAATGAATTTTCATGTAGAATCAGTCAGTTATATTCAACCTAGAACCTGGCACACGTGTACATCGGTACAAGTTGTCATACTCTATTAGAACAACAAGGTGAAACTGTCGGGCCGAATCCCAGAGTAGTAGAGGTAGAAATAGTAACGGTGATAATAAAAAAGTTTAGGAATCTAAGATAAAATTTGAGAGGAATATTTGGATTTTATACGGTAATTTAATGATTATGGAACACGAAATTTTTAGAAGATCAGTGACTAAACCAATCCCTAGTTCAAATATGATGCCAGATAGTACGTGCTGTTAAGTGAATAAAATATTTACAAATCGGTCATGCAGTGGTAATCAATGACATGACTTTCCCAGAAATGACTAGTTAAGATATACATTGTAAACGATGTAACATGAAATTACAAGGAACATATATAAACGTTTCTCTACATCCCTACAATACTAATTAGTAAAATTAAGGAAGCAAACGAAATGGAAAAAGTTATTAAGAAACCGATAACGACCGAGAATAAGTCACTGAAAAGCAAAAGCAAATTAAAAAAAGAAGGTACAAATTAACATGATATTCAACGTTTAGAAACTTTGAGGTGAATTAATGTAAGCAAACGTAACAAACATTTACGCCGTATCAAACAAAGGTTTATATTATCAAGTTCGGTCGGTTTCTAGATTACAATCTGTAAAGTAACAATTCATCGTACACGTTAGATAATTTCCAAAATGAAATCATACGTGTACCTAACTATACCATAATCATTCTTGAAGCAGAATGAAAAGCTGGGGAGCACAGAATCCTTAACACTTTAATTACCTCAATCGAAAAAACTTAAATTCACATACCATAGGTTAACACAATATTCTTTTTTTAGCAATGAAAACATTTTGGGATAGTTTTTAAGATAGATTAAAGAACAGAAATGAAAAAAAACATTGTGTGTCAATCACCTTATATGGCAAAGTGGTACACACAGAAGTACTGAGAAATATATTTCCCATCAGTGGGTATTCAGCATACGGCACGCTTATCAATAGATAGCGTAGAACGATTAGAATGAAAGACAAGTGTTTAATTCGTTAACTATCACCTCATCAAGCCGTTTTCGAAATTTAAAATAGCTAGGGGGAACGAATAGTTCGATATCTATTATCGTATTAGGCATCAACATAGACCAGTCGCAAAATAACACTGTGAACTGGAAACGACTTCAAAATATGAATATGTGCAAAAAAAAGTGTGATGTTGAAAGATTGATGCCATAATCTTAAATTTTACAGTCTACGGTATAACACTAACTCTGAACGGATGTGTTTTTTTCCAGATATTAACCATAAAACGAGGTTTTACTTTGAATCAATGAACGATGGGCACTAAGAGTGAGAAGAGTTTCAACAGTGAAGTACATCTTCATGACCTATTTGTCTTTAATTTTCTGTTGCTCAGCAATTCAGAAATACACTAAATTTCGAAATATTCTAATGTAATAATCACATCTATTCCTTCAGCTGAATCCAGAAAATTGGACTTATTTATTAGGAGGGAAAGACGACATATGTATCATCTACGATTTCAAAAACATTGTCAGGGAAAGATGACAGATTGTACAAAAAAGATATATCGGTTAAAGGCCGAATAATAAGTGAGAGGTGCTAAAGGATGCAAGCTATTCGGCTTAATTATCCATAGCTAATAGACAAGCGCGATTATCTGAGAATCTGGCTTAATTATCTGAAAGCGATATATATACGAGTTTGTGTATGAATTTTGATTGAAGTTAGTCAGTAAAAGCCTCTGAATCATTCTTAGTTGTCTTACTCAAGAAGCTGATTGAGCTCGGCCATATGAAATGTATACATCAGAATCAAACTCGGAGAATTGTTCAGCATCATATGTTGCTTAAACGAAATTCAACCAAGTTAATATAAACTATACTCACCTGAAGATTAAGAAATACAGTAGTGAATGGTTCAACACGCAGTAAATAATTTAATACAAATGCTGCTGTACTATAATGTGTACCGTAATGAAATGGTGGTTGAGTTTCATCTTCCCAGTTTTCGTAACGTTCATCAAAAAATGCTTTACGTTTAGGATTAATTGCACCAATTGGTTTAGATAAATCACGATAATTAGATGGAGAAGATAGATCTAGTTCTTTTGTAGTATAATTTGATATAACCCATGGAAATATTGGATACTGATTCAAGTCATTATAGCTACGACCAGCTATAGTGTTTAAATACATTAGATAATCAAAGTTTGACAATTCACGATGTTGCCAACGTTGTGTCATATTGGATAACTGAAATATTTTACTGGGACTAGCTAAAGTCGATGCTCTAGATACAGGAAGACCATATCTTGTACCTATGCCTACTTCAGGTAAAGCATTTACAACCAATTTCACAGTGTTCATATCTGTAAATGCAAACAGTACAGAGCCTAAAAAAAGAAAAAAAAGAGGTGAATAATGAAATTTGTCGACATAGAATAGATAGAAAGTAGCTAGAAGTGGAACTCATGACGCATATTCTATCCTCTTTAGGACTAGTCATTTTCATTTATTTGCGTTCCAGTGTTGATGTTTACCCAGGAACTCGAATAATTCAAAATGTTTGTTTAGTAATAACTGTACGTGATAACTTAAATGAACGCCGTGTAACAGATCAGCCGTTAAGGATGAATGAGGACGTTTCAAAGAAAAAGAGCAATAGTGTTTTAGCACAAAACTGTTTATTGCAGACAGTGACCCCTGGAGATAATTTCTGCAACATAAAAGATTTCACCTTAACAGATGGCTTCCAGATACGTAAAGAAAACAGGCTAATTCTAGAAAACACTAAGTTGTTTAAAAGATTGTAACATCCTAGATCAGCTATCTACACTACAATAAACAAAGTCAACACAAAAATTACCGGGCGCGCTGTCAAAGAATGACATTTTCAGGCTTTATCAATGCATTAAGGTACACTACTGATAATTTAACACAGTGCATAAAACAACCTTGAATCCTACAGAAATACTACTTTCCTGTAGCGTTGACGATTGGAGCCTCAACTAAACGAGTGCGTATATACAGGGTTTTTTGTCGATTGTCTTCAATCACTTAAAACCAAGGTAAAGTGCATCACTGTTTTAGACTTTATCTAATAATCGTACTGCAACACTGAACAGTATGACTTGATGAGTAAAAACAGTTAAATAGAACGACATTAGTTACTATCCTGGGATCAACAAATGCTGTCCAATAACCAAAACAGCAATTGCCTGCTGCGAAAAATGAATAAAAAATTACAATTCCTTGAAATAACATAACTGTATTTTCAAATAATAATTCAAACTATATGCATTTATTCAATAGGACATTTAATTGAATTTTTAGTGAAAAAATGAAATGCTTCTCCACTTACCTCTAGAAGTTACAAATATTTCAAGCGCAACTTTACGATGAAGAAAAGAACGATTAAAAATCGCACGTATTTCTGATAATGACCATCTACTATAAATATGTTCAATATAAGCTAAAACCTATGAAAAAAAATTGAGACGAGAAAAGACAGTTCGATAATTAAGAATGTTTTCATTTCCCAGATAAAACGAGCTTCATTCTGTTCTAGTAGTACATTAAGTGGTTAAAAATAGTAAATCTTAAACTCAAAGTATAGGTTAGGTACCATTTTTCACTGACTCGTCAGAATATATATATATATATATATATATATATATATATATATATATATATATATATATATATATAATGAGCTGTTTGAACACTACAATCTTAAGTTTGAACTTACACGTTGATCAATCGATCTATTGTTAGGATGATCTGTATCATGTTCAAAATATAATTCATACTTCGAAATGGATAATGTACCATGTACAGTTACTCCAAGGGAAACTAGAATACATGGGACTGATAGGTATGCCGTAGCTGTAAAAAAAATTATTTACAGAATAAAATTACCATAACTACTGACCTAAGGAGAATCATAGTAATAACAAAAGAAGCTTATAAAAAGTTTCATAAATATTAAAAAGAACTAAAATATTCACTAATATTACCAAAGATAATTTCAAGAACTTTCTGTAGTGCATAAGCAAGTGATGAAAACGAAAAATACACAAGCTTTGATGAACAGAACATCAGGTAGTTAATCAGTTATTATCAAGGGAGAGCTTGTCAACAATGTGCATATCATAATTTGGCATATTACATTATCACAACTGCATAAAAGTAGCAAGACAAATAGCAAATGACCCAAAATAACTGTTGTGGTAACAATATTGAGAAAAACTAATCATTAAGATTGTACTATGAGGAAATGGAAAACATGGTTAAATATCAAGGAATACTTCAACTCGAGATTTAGGTGAAATAGGGTAGATTCATCCATACCATCGTGACTGGTTCAAAGCCATATCGTCAATAATTTATCAACACTAATTGCGGTTATTGTGCAAATCCGAATCAGATAGTCTGTATCTACTAACACGACTCAGATTAATAGTCAAAAACTTTATTGGCTGATGCCATGTTATCGTTCGTCCACAGGCCAACAAGACTAATCTAGGTCGTGGTTAGGTTTACGTAATACATGTCCCAACTACCTCAGCTGATGACGATTTACAACCGTAATAAACGACTTTTCGATGTTACTGAGTAGCTTATGGTCCATCTCAAAATCATCCACTGAATCGGTACACTATTTGTGAAGAAAAGTATGATCAAAAACCTAGTTTCACAAATATAGAGTGATATAGAACGAACTGATGTACAATGCAATTACTGCATTCATTGGCACACAGATATTTGTAAAGTTAAAATTGTGATATATAAGCGCTGTTGGCATAATTCATCTGCACACTTGTTAAACACCGTTTTATATAAAAATTATGCAAATACTAAACTACCTAGAACTAAAGGTTTCAATCTGCAGTAAATGTGTGACTTGAGAATATTGGGCTGAAGATCAGATGAACTCTAAGGTCGCTTATTTAATTACAAACAATACTTTTGTAAAGTATAGTTATTAGATCATTGGAGATATTTTGCAAAAACACTAACTTTTAAAATCAATGCATAGGCGACCAGGGTAAAGTGAATCTTCTTGAAACCAAGTTAAAGTAACAGGATTCGTAGTTTCCGAGCTATCCACTGATTCATTCATCGTTGAATTCAATAATGTATTGTCATGAGGAAGTTCATACTGTACTGAATTCTTATCCGCTGATTCAGAATTAGTTGAAAAATCACGGGCATGTTGTATCCCAGCTTCTTTGAGGAGGTCCGCCAACTGTTGAGAGTGGTTTTGACAAACAGAACGACGACGCATATTATCATTGTAAAAAGCAGAAGAGGAATAATTCGTACCATGTGGATTAGGAATAAGTCTACGATGTCTTCGACTATCATCCTCCCAACCATCTAGTCGGAAGTAATCCTTCCTATCAAATCAAATTTTATTAGAAAGTAATAGATACCACTAATATTAAAGGAACTGAGAATGCTTTATTTAGAAAGTATGAACATAAAAGAACCTATTATAAAAGTAAACTGTTATAAATAAGACATTACTAATTCATTTTCTCATTCAGTTTGAAAATAAAATAAAATTAAGAGCAAGGCGAATAAATGCAAGTCACTAAAATACACATCAGTTGGGGGAATCTTATTCACAATTCAGCAAAGTAACTAATCATAAACGTTCATCGATAAGGACACAACACACAGGTAAATATTTGATACTTCAACGGTTAAAAGAATGTATAATATATAATGCTTATTTATCAAACATAGGACACGTACTCAGTTTTGAACCACATTTGGCATGTGCATATCAGAGCTAGTGATACTACGCTACTGGTCATACCGAAATATATAGGAATATGTTCAAACCTGTGGTCTGCTTTCTCAGGACTAAGTCATTTAACTGCAAAAGCATACTTAATAAATAAAACTATGCTTAAATAAGACGGAAATTCATTTAATTACTATACTAGCGGTCAAAACCAAACAGCTTACGGTAAATTAATATGCAAAGAGCGAAAAATAGATATATCTGCTAAAATAGAAAATATCAGGCAAATGTCTGCTGGGTGTCTGGAGCTCAGTAAATGCTATTGCAGCCTAAACTTGTCCAGAAATTTATGTAATGATAGCTAAAAAGATAAGAATCGATCAGGCAACTGATAGGGTATCATAGATTTCTAGTTAAACCGTTTTCATTCATGCTCATGCTTGTAGATAAAAATCATTGAAAAAACAGGAATTACTATCACCAAAACATATCTGTTGCCATCCATAGCTGTAAAAACATATTTTTAAGTACAGAAATAATTAAAGCTTATTGATGAGGGTTGGTTGACTCATCACATCATGCGATGGATGATGATATAAGTAGAAATCTAAAATTTTAACTAAAGATGATGGAATTAATTATTGTGTGAGTAAAGGCCGTAAAATATTGACAATTTTCATCATACGTTGGTATAATTCATCATATTTTAGAGAGGAAGCTATGCGAAAAACCACAGATTATAGCCACGTTACAGAGACCGTTCCAAATAGCTATGGATATCAGAATGATTCTCATATACTATGAAGATGATTAAAACTTGAAGAAAGTATGGGTCCCAGTCTTTTTGAACCAGTGGCTTCCCTTTGAACGAGTCTCCACTCTATTAATGAAGGTATACTGAACTGACTAGATTGGTAACAAAGTTTCTAATCAACCTTAGTTGCACGGAAGTTGTTCATGACCATATGTGTTTTTTTGTTGCACAAATGTGAACTAGGATACAAATTAAACATTGTTAAGAAAATACATCAAAAAATAGAATAATTTGATGTAGAACCAAATCGACATATAAAACTATTGTCAGTTATCCTAATAACCAGTTCGACAAGGTTAACCTGAAAGAGTGTATATAAATATAGGATAAAACGATGGATGGTAATCAGATGAATAAAGCGCAGAAAAATCTTTATGAAAGTACCTTTATCAGTTTCACGTTACATCACTCAAATAACTGGAGCCTACTAGAATTGATTATTTGTACTTTCAGAACCACATCTAGAATATATACAACTCAAAATACAAACTAAACAGAACATTTGTATACATCAATGAATGTTATTATTGCGATATGTTTATGACGTTTTTGGAAGATAGGATAATTCCATAAAGTATTAGAAAACACCTGATACTTTTCTCATAACTAATAGTCATAATTATTTTTGGATAAATGAGTTTTCATAAAATTTCAATATATATTATATGGCTTACAGGAGAGGATGGACAGTTCGAGAGACGGTAAATGATGATGATGTCGGTGACAATCTCATCCAATTGAACATTATAAATTGAGCTAATCGATTAGCTTTATTATTCAAATAATTTGATAGTTTTGCATCACGTAAACGAGCTGAGTCAATTATATTTTTGTGCAGTTTTTCTTCTTCTCGTAGATTAGCCATAGTATGTGCAGTGATTTCCTCAAATTTTGTATGCTGTTGAATATTAGACATATGTATTTGATTTAAAATTACATCACCTTCTACAGCTACACGATAAAGATGATCACGTATAGAATGAGATAGAAGACGTCCTTCATTAACGAGTTCAATAAATGCCCATCCTGCATATTTTTGTAAAGAGGTTTGCCATTCCTAGTGGATAAAAATAACAAAACAAAAGATAAAGAGAAAAATGATTTATAGTGAATACAACCACAAAATAAAACTAACACGTTTTAGATAAACACAACTAGTAATAACATCAATCATATACACATTAATTTGTAACCATGATTAAGAATTGGTTTGAAATAGACAAACTAATAAGTGTTATAATACGTAAAATAAGTTTTAAAATTTCGAACCATAATCAAATAATAAAAATAAGTATTTAAAAAATAAGGTGTGTAATATTCTTTGATATATTATGATATACTATTAACCATGTATTGTATAACTATGATTAAACAAAGAGTTTATGCTTGCTGTATTTTTTAATAAACAAAAATTTACAAGTGATCATCATAATAACTATTGATAATCTTATACGATTAAAGATCATCGTGTTATGAATGTGACATAATAACCATAGAAAACTTAATTTTCGTTAAAACTAATATCTAGTGATTTCCATTATATAGCTAAATAGAGCCAAAAGAATGTAGAACATCTGAACTATTCCAAGTATTAACCTTCGATATTTAGGGTAGTTATCATTGGTTTGTGAAACAACCTTATTTTTTGTTGAGAAATAAATCTATGGGAATGCAATATTCATGTAACAATGAAACGACTTAACAATTTAGAGGTAGATCATTACACTTTCGACGTTACAGAAAAGGGTCTCTCAAACATTTGTTAAATACATTCCCAGAAACTCACGGCTGGAAGGGAATAAAATACTTACAAATGCTGTTGCCAGACATTTTTTGGATAGCGGACATGAAGTGAAAGCAAAAATGGCCTTCAAAATATTTAAAAGGTAAAAAATACCAATCTTTTTCCAGTGTGCAAAGGCAATCACCAAACGTTTCCGACATGACCTATACATACAGAAGAAAAGTGTGACTAGCTTTTCCCTTCCATAGTGAATGGATGTTTTTCTGATAACTCTTATTTTCAGCTTTTTCCCATACCCGTCCCCAACACTCTTTATTATTTTTTTCGTCTTCTGATATTCACTTCTAGAATAATCTTACTGATGTTCGTATATTTATTTTTTAAATCATAATGGGCGATTATCCAATCACTTATCAGACGAATTATAGTTAAAAATTAGGCTACTGGGTTAGCTACTGAGTTCAGATAGTCACTGACTTGTTATATTTTACGGCGGAAAAAAACAGGGGAAGAACGAAAAAACGTCCCTCAACGACAAAGTATCGCAACAAGAAAGTAATAACAGCATAATTTCAGTGGCTTATGAGGTCATGGATGTTCGCTGATGTAATTTACTAAAAGCTGCTGATGTTATCTTGGTTCATAAGAGACAGCACTTTTAAAAAGTTTACATTAGAATACCGTACATATTTCGTGATCGAATTGCTCCACTGTCACTGTACTAAAAATATGGGTACGACAAATTTTGAACCATCATATTCTTTTAAACTACACTGTTTACTCAAGAATATGTAAGCAAGCAATACCACTACTTCTCATATTACAAATGTAACCTCTATCCTAAAGACAAGTATGCACAGAAGTAGCTGCATTGTAACTGTATGAATAACTAACAAAATATGAAATAATACCAATATATTTATTTGTATTACTACCAAAACTGACTTGTGAACACAACAACATCACTAATTCTACAACAGATGATGTATGCTGTAAGAATGGTAGAACACTTAGAATTAATTCTTGTCCATGAGTACCAATTAATGTTTTACTAAAATAATCCATAAATTCAATAAATAAATCTTTTAAAAATAAACCAGTTGATCCAAGGCACGTATCAAGTAAATCAGTTAAAGCGTTCTGTTTTTGGTTACTCTGTTCACTTTTTGTTGTATTATTACTGTTATTATCAAGTGGTACGTCGACAAGTTCATATTCTTCACTGACTAGTGAATTACGATCTAGATTTATTAAGATGAAATAAACAGAATTATGATTATGAAAGTGATTATTAATAATAATAGTTTTATTATTAATCGCGGTAGTAAAAATAAAGACTATGACTATATATACCATATTAGGGTGCTATAAGTATAGCTCACTAAAATCTTTAAAAGTATACCAGTTAGATTATGTAATTTCATATCTGATAAAAATTTCGTGATTCTTTTTCGAAACACCACTTTTCAGTTCGAAATTTCTATTCTAATAATTTTTAAATGGATAAAATTGTTAAGAGTTTTAAGTATTATTATGTGTCTGATTTTCTAAGTATATGCCTATGTTCGTGACTTAGTGACATTACCTAGGACATAAAGAGTGATAGTTCAACTCTTTTTTGTTACTTAATTTACACACAAAATGCTTGATACATGAAGTTAGAATTGATTAGTGAGTTCCTTCTCACACAAAACGATCATAACCGACTGTTTTATTTTGAAAATATACATATCGAAGAAACATGGGCAGTCAAGAAGATTTTTTTTTCTTACAAATAACTTATACTCTAAAATGCTACTTTATTACTTTAAAATATTATTGAAAATAATATAGTTGTCCATAAACTTTCTTCAAAGGTTTTAACTTAGCAGTCCATGTGGTGAAAGTAAATAATGTTAAGTGATCAGCATTAGGCAGTCACGCAATGTTAAGTCATTTAGCTTAATGAATATACTGTTACTTGACCGATATAATCTGATTAGCACTATGGTCTAGTCAGACATAAAACTGCTCACTACTCAGTGATGAGTCAATATAACCATAAAATCCACTGATATAACAAGAAAATAACTGCGATACTTGCCTACTCATTACCATTGTCATGTATAGGAACACTGCATACTTATGACAGCATTATGAAAGTAACATTAAAATTTATTATGAGTGTGAATTCGAAATTTAAAGCGTAAAGTGAAAATTCACTTAACTAAGAAAATTACGGTACTTAAGGACAGGTACTATGGTAATTTTTTACATGGTTCAAATTACAAACATAATAAACTGTCATTGTAAGTACAGATAATACACTACTCACCTATGTCGTTCTCATCACGATGGGTTATTCCGAAAGCTGCCTCTTTACTATTAATATTAGGATCATTATTATTTTTAGTTGCTATTGTCTCATTATTCTGAGTAGTGATGGTATTCATTTGGACTTGAGGTTCTTGTTTAAATTTATTTGTTTGAGGTAATTCAGTATGAGAATGTACGTGATCGACATTAGCATATGGTAACCAGATTGGATTCGGATCAAGAACATCACGATATTTAGAGACCATCATTACTGAAAGAAAGTAAACTGTTGCTAAAGCCAAAAAATCAGGCGATTTGGTTGTTTCCTATATTAATTTTCGTAAAATAAAAAAACGAGGAGGGTGAAAAGATAGAATAATATTATAAGAATTAGAAAAATAAAGTCCACTAGGTTAGCCGTAACATACGTCAGAGTTGGTAGTATAGTTATTACGTAGTATGAAAAATTGTAATATAGTTAACAATGGAAATCAATTGTGAATTTCATTATTAAATATTGAATTGTACTTCATAACTGATGCATAGATCATAATATTCTAGTTTGACTTCCAACCTGATTATTACTTAACGAGCGAACAGATTTTACTAAATACTGATAACAAGAAAAGCGCAATCAATTTACTGATGTTATTGTAATGATTGCCATTATAAAAACAACTGTCATAACCAGTAGAAATAACATGGAAACTGCTATGGATTATTTAAAAGACCTATGATGCAATAGATCAAAAAAAGAAGGGAAATATAATTTAATTGAGATTGATCAATGAGTATTGTTATTCGGTGTTGATTAGACGGAAATCCAGTTATGACATAGCGAAGTAGTACTTATGTCATATTTTAGATTTTAGATCTCATCCACATCACAGAGATTCGTGATGATAGCAACGGACGTTTAGTAACTGGATAGTGGATTGGAGTGTATGTAGATTCAACCACTTTGATGTAGATAATCAAGTATTAGGTATCACTGAACAGTATGACTTGTAAATAATAAAAAACAAACATTTACTTTGTTGAAGAATTGTACAGTCGTATGTTTTTAAACAACACAGAAGTCAACTGGTAACTGTTTAAATATGAACAATTCAATAAATTATTAAACAAAATAATAGTGTTACTCACTGTGTATTTAGCAATTAGATAATTTAGCCTCTTTATATCAGCATTTTGCAAAAGTATTTCAGAATTTTTGACTGGATTGATGACCGTATCTTGAAAAGTTTCATCCTTACAAAAAAAGATTAAAGAAAACACCAATAAGAATTAATACAATTAGGAGTGTTAACATAATAATGATTATCTAAAAAGTTTCGAACAAGGGGGATATATGAATTCACACATTACAAAATTATAGAACATAAATTACTGTATAACATTTTGTTTAAAAATGGGATTATGTTTTCATTCTGAGTATATTCGCTATTAAAATAATTACTAGAATGCTAACCGATATCTAATGTATAATAATATATAGACTATGATCACCTAACAGCTATTCACCACATCGAATGATTGATCCGATTCTTCCAAACGAACTAATATCATCAGTAAAATTTAACATCTGTTGTGAAAAACAATTCAACATTACTAATTTGATCATTCTATATTCATTGAATTAAAATGGTTGTACGGAACTATTAGTGATAAGTACAAGTACAACCCTGAATTATTTTAGCTATAATAACTATTTTAGGCTTGATAATAAAGCATGTAGACATTATACTCAGAAAATCTGAGAATCTCAGCTTACGAATATTATAATTATGGGTCTAACAGTAATAATAAATAATTGATTGAAAATAAGGATATACATCGCTATGAGTCGGCTCAGTGATCTAAAGACTAAGCCCTCACACAGGGGACCTGATGCCCTCGAGTTCGATCCCAGTGGATGTAAATTGTTAAGAAGTAATATGCTGAGTTAAAACAGTTGACTAGTGATTCCTGGTTTTCAAAATCTGTTTGACTAGTGCCAGTACGTGATGTAGACTGTGAAATTCAACAATCTCAATAAATGCCTTATAATAAAGACAAAATATTTATCGAGGCAATTTATTAAATGTTTAAAAGTAGAATGTGTAAGGTTTACAGCATCAATTAAGAAGTCAGGATTAACGTAAAACAAGGTTTTACGTTTTGTTTGCCGACTAAGCCTTCCAGAAAAATGGTAAGAGTTATTTTTAATGTACTTAGTTGTAAGAGGGGATGTATAACATAATAGATCATATAAAAAGTAACTTGTAATGATAAACACTAACGTGTACTTGGTTGATGAGTTTTACTGAATGTACATATTCTTAGTTTGAAATGGAAACAACACTAGTCTAACTAAAGGATTGTATGTCTAAAGATTTTCAATACGATTAATAATAGAAAAACTAATCATATAACCGAAACTTACTCCATAATTTTTGGGATAGTTAAAATGTGGTTTCATACTGTATAGTAATTGTTGAAATGTTCCACTTAAATGGCTTATTTTTTTATCATAATCATGTTTTATATCACTGATGCGAAATAAATCACTGGATGTTGTATAATAATCGGGAAGTTTCCATGGTTGTTCTAGAAAACCTAATCGGTGAATTTTATAGTATTCCAGGTCTGTGACAAGCTGAAATCTAGATAAATTTAATAGTTTATTTGTCAAATTGTCCATAGAATCTTCTATGATATTACATGGATCATTGGAATCAATCGAAAGTGGGAAAGAAAAATGATGTCGATGAACTTCTTTTGAAGTTATATCAATGCCATTTGAACAATTATAATGATTTATTCTATCCACACGTATATCATTCATAGTTTGAGTGGATCCTGTAATAATCTGTAATGATTGTAAAGCATGACTGGAATCATCTGATTGGATAAACAAAACTTCATTTATTTCTAAATTTTTTTCTATATCACTGGAAATTCCATAATGACGAACTATATCACTTCCAGAAGATAACTGTTTCATTGTTTGTACAATATATGAGGGAGGTAATAACCTGTTTAGACGTGACTCCAGACAATTACGAACTGCTGCAGTTAAATCTATTCAACAAGTCAAAAAGGGGCATGAATTGAGCAGTGTTCACAAATAAAAAACACATTTCACTACAATTCGGGTTGAACATACGCATACCGACATAATCTGGTCAACTACTAAAAACTATGTTAATTCTAGGATTTAACCCAAAACTCTGAGTGACAGGAATGATGACGAGAAACATTATATCATTATTCCACTATAGTAAATGACTTCTATTTTTTACCTAAAATACCAAAAAGCGGTAACGTAGGCACAATTCCAGCGCGATTGCGAAATTTTCCAATCGTCATGCATTGAAATTGTTCTGATGTAATTATCAAAGATGCTATTCAACTAACTAATTATGCTGACCTACGTATAAGTATATTCGAAATATGTTGTTTTGCACGTGAGTACTATCGATCATACTCGGCTACTTAACGCAATGAACACGAAGCGGACTTCAAACCTGCAACCTGATTATTGAAAGTTGATTAATTTAACCAAAAGTGAATCTTACAGCTAATGACAGAAATTCGTTTAATATGCAACCTAATTACACATTTAAAGCACATGTAAACTAGTTTGAGAATAGGTAGTTGCTAGTGCAAAATCTTAAGTCAGTTTCACAAAAGCATCAAAGAGAATATTTATATTATACTGGGTTAATATAATTAGATAAGACATAAAGATGTATCACATTTCTGATTAAATAAAATGGAAAGAAAACGAAAATTATATATATATATATATGCTATGAGATACTACATGATTAAGAAAGGCACGTAGGAAAAGGTCAATGGAGTTCAACCGTGCGTGTTTTAAGACAGTTAATCACTGAAGACATTGGCGGACGGTCGCGCAATACCGTAGATTGGTTGTAGTTAGACATTGACACCGTTGGATGCTGAATCAGTGGTCTAAAGGTTAAGCATTCGCGTGGGAGACCGAAGGTCCTAGGTCCGAGTTTTGAGTGTAAGATTGTAGATGCGCACCACCGAGAAGTCCCACACTAGGACAAAACGGCCTTCGAGTGCTTCCATGTTTTCAATGGTGGTCTAACATTGATCCATTCGTGATACCAATTTAAACTAAACAATCTCCACAACCCTATACTGATAAAATGAAAACTGTAACTGGTGTATTTTAATTTACTTGACATATCCTACTATACTGTTTCAATATTTCTTGAGGATACTAAAAACTTAAATACTGCTGATTGACCTTTTTTAGAAATCAAGAGTCGACGAAAATATACAAAACAGTGAACATGGTAATAACATGCGATTAAAATGTAAAATTCAAACAATTAATTAACGATTGTAAGATAAACAAGAAAATATGAAGTTTTAAAAATTCATTTTAAAATCTAAATGTATCCTATATATTTACTTAACACTATGAACAAATGATATGTGATAATCATAAACTCACATAATCTTAAAAGTTGACGTACTATAGATCCTGAAGGTAAATTCCTTTCAGATTCTATTAGTTTGATATTAATATTTTTATCCATAATGCAAAAATCCGCCAAATAAGTTAAACGCAAAAGATATCCTATTCCATCACTCAACTCCATTCCAGGTAATGACTCTAAACTGCCGATTTCACTCTAATTCGAGAAAAAAAATTTGAAAAACAATGGAATACTGTTTTAAATTATTTAATATTTATGCACAGAAAACGGATAATGTTTTAATGTTAAGGAATTACTGAATCAGTACAGCCACTTGAAATAAAGTGAGATGATCTTTAGTAAGGAAAGCTAGAAATCGAAACTAATATAATTCGACAAGACGCATACTAGTAGACTAGACACTTCGCGTGTTGTCATAGGTTTCTGGAAAAGTACGAAAAAAAGACATTCAGACTTTCATAGTTGTCAGGAGATGCCAAGTGGCTTATTGAAGTTAGTCAGTCATAAACAAGTAGAATCTACCGCAAATATGCATCTGACCAAGCTGTCAAACCATATCAATACAATGAATGATAGTATCAATGATATTAAAATAATATTAGGTATCAAGAATATTATTTGAGAAGAATGAAGGTGGAGAGGTTCATTGAGATAACAAACGATATATACTTATATCAGAAACTTGGTAAATTAGGCTTCATAAGAAACCATATGAATTATCAACACAGAAATTTTTCAAAGATTCCTGATTCGCTATAATTTAAGAACATTTTTCCACAATAAAACACTACACTGTTGACTCTTCAAGATGGTCTCCTCTAGGCTAAACTTGCTGGAAGTTTTACAAACCAAACAAAATTTCCAAAACAATGAAATATAAATTGGAAAAAACAAATGGCTTGTACACACAGAAATTAAGTATTTCACCTCCCATACCCATTTCTATGTATCTGTTATATTTTTCAGTGTTAGTGGTTGCGTATGTTTGATCACTTATTTGAATTATGTTTCTTAAAAAATAAGTAATTGTGGTCGAAATATATCACAGGCATTAATTAATCAATAGCGAGAAAACTATTTCAGACGTTCTGCGCGAAATACAATGAATGACATTTATTTTTATTTTAGAAAATGCACAATAAAGATAGCTTTATCTAATGACCAAAACGTCTAAAATTAGTACGAAAAATTCCTTTATTGGCATCACAGAGTAAACATGACAGAGCTCAATATATCAAATGCTCACTTTTATACATAGATAGTGCATAACACATGAACCAGTTGGTTTTGTTAATTTGCTTCTTGTAAAGAAAACTTTCAAAGTAATCATTTGATTAGTGATTTACTGAATAATACTCTACCTGCTAAAGTGAGAATGCTTAAAATAGATAACGACTTTGACGCATGACTTCATAAAGATTTGGAGATGATGTTCATCTCATGAAACACTATCGCCATCGCTCTTCGTTAAGTTTATTAATTGAAATTTCCTTGAAGATCAGGAAGTCCCGATAAAACTCTATATAGATATGAGGAAAAAGTTGTGGAGATGAAACTTTTAGACTGGATAAAGTTGCACTCAACTAAATAAGGTTATGTATAGATATCTCAACAATATGAAGATCAGAAGACATGTAAGAAGCCTTGCAGAACTAAAAAATGTTTTAGAACTATTGAAATCTAACAGGTTTCCGTACTTCTGTTATAAAATAGTTTCGATTTATTAGTACCTTTGCTCGTTAATCAAAAACTGGCTTTAAGGTTAGTTTAAGAACCGCTTAAACAGGTCTCAACACTAAACTTCAACTGCAAACTTTATGTAAGCGAAAATTGAAATTCAGCAAATGTTTATGACATATTACAATGGAAAGAAACAGCTGTGTGAAGTTAATCCAATTTGATAGACCATAATCAAACTACTAAAAACTCTATCTTAACATATGATATTGAACAGTAGAAACATACATTGTTTCATTAATTTAATATCAAACTAATACCAAATAATCTGATTAACAGAAATAATTTATCACAACGTACAGTTTACTTATTCGACAAAAAATATGAATGAACTATTTGAATAATAGAGAATTTATCATTAATTAGATTAGAAAATAATGGTTATGAGAAATGAAGAGTTGAATCAATATGTGAACAAATAATAACTGTGATGATGCAATCGAAAGAATATAATAAAAGGAATCTCTTTTCATCATCAATATATAAACTGTTCGTAAAATTGAATAGTATTACGGCTAAAATGTGCTGAAACCTTGTTATAAAACACAGTTCAAAACATTTTACACTGATCGATCGACTTCGATCCAGTGTAGCAACCAATATACTGAGTTTTGTCCATGTAAGTAAGAAACACTATTTTGATCATTGAAAAAATATTAAAAACCATAAGATAAATCAGTTATACGAAATAAGATAAGCATACACAAATGATGTAACGTGAGGTGAAGAAAGATATATAACACAAAAAAAGTAAAAAAACAAACAAGCATGGATAGGAATCAACAGTCAAGAAGTTGAATTATTCCATATTTGTAGAAAATCCAAATTTCAGAAAATATATCACTACAGTTGATTAAAGTAGAACCCTGATGATAAGTCTCAAGTGGAATAAAACATGCAACGTAAATATCAATGCTCAGTGATACAAAATACGAAATAATATTTTTCGTACAGATAAAATTTAAAAATTACAGTTATAGAAACAAATATTTATGCTGTGATTGGAGTTGTGGGGCGACAAACATTTGTTAATCAGATCAATAATTTTGCGATGAAATAAATTGTGATTAACTGAATATGAGAACTAAATATGTAACAATGTCCTGAACTCAAACAACAACGTAGAAATAATTTTCTTGAGGAAATCAACAAATTTTCTGATTAAAAGTAAGATTTTTCATCTATCTTTTAGCGCGCAGTTTTACAACAATCGGGACACAAATGTATGAAGAATGTTATTTAAAAGATCATACTTGTAAAATCCTGAAAGATGGAAATGGAATAACTCTATATTTTGCTACGTAGTTTGGTTTGGACTTCGTTATTTGGGTAACTAAGATTTTTAGAAATATAAATTTGATTCTAAAAATTAAGGTTGTTTGATGATTTGTTAGAGAGGGACATTAAGCTGACATTCCGAAAATTCCATCAGAAGACAGAAAAAATTGTGAAACAGTGAAGGAATTTTTATAAACTTCTAAATTGACGGTCATTTATAAACTAGGAATATAGGAAAATACTAACAGATTTTAGTTGACTATTTAGGCGAATATGATAAAGAATAAAATGTTTCAGAAAAAAAAGTCATTTCAAAGATATATTTGAATACAGTACAATCTAAGAATTTTCGAAGGTATACTTAATGTGTAATATTAGTGTTATTTTGTTTTTAGCTAATAAAACAATGGATTCTTTGGTGTGACTCATCAAAAAGAAACTTTTTATGCATTATTAAAACTGCTTATTATTCAATAAAAAATATATAAACACTTTATATTCACCATATTATTAGCAAGAGCAATAAACTTCAATAACGTCAGTTAGTTAATCTTAAATAGCGAAGAACCTAGCATATATATGCATTAAATCAAGTTATTGAACAACATCTGTACTTCGATTTTGGCAGCCGAGTAGTAACACTAGACCTGGCACCTGGTTCGGTTTGAAGCCACATACACGAATCTGAATCAGGTTATTGATAAGATCAAACAAGTGGCTATCTAATAACATTTTTTTTAAAAAAAAGATGTACTACCTACATAATTTAATAATTTATTTTCTTTTCATACTCAAAATTGCTGGAAACACTGCTTCAGTACTTATAAGGAATAGTGTAACATTTAAAGAATATAAAACAGAAAAACTTTGTTTGCACGACTTTAATATCATTATTCATGTACCAGCGTTTAACATTTAGCCTGAATATGAGGGGTGTGCAGAAAAAGTATTCGGATTTATTAACCTAATGTGTATCCACTTCAAATTCAATCATTTTTCTGAGTTACGTTTTCCTGTCGAGTAGCTTCAACAAACTAATAATTTAGAGTAATGTCCAGCTACATTGACTAGTGACCACTTAGCAAATCACCGATAAACAGAATTAGATAAACAACGGAAGATTAAAACAATATGACTTTGGCCACCGCTCAATGATTAATTACTTGTAAATAACAATTAGTTTTCTATCAATATTGTAAAATGGATAAATACATACTGTGGAACTTGACGCTGCAGCAAGTAACGGTAACAAGCCTCCACATGCTCCGACAATCATATCAGATAAATAAGAAATAATATGCAAAATATTTGTGGTAAAAATAGATTCATTTTTTGGATCAATTACATTCATGTTTGTCTCATTTTGAGAAAGTATTTTGTCATCGTCATTATTATTCGCAATAAGATTATTATCTGTCAAAGATGCCTGATTATTTAAATGTGGTGTTCTGATGAAAGGATTAGTTGCCAGCGATGTTGTCATTGCCGTCGATGATAACGATAATTCTGTGGATGCTAATGATAATACAGACGAGGATGAAAATGATGGTAACGTTGGTGATTTTAATTGTATAGAAGATGGTGACTGAACTGATTCTTTTCCTATCTTTGTTTGCTGTTTCAAAATATTCTCTCTTAATCCATAAGTTGGTGTAGACAAAGAGGAATGCGAGGTCACGGATTGTTTTCTGTGAACCACTCGTTGACTAAATTAAATGGAAATAAATAGCGATGTATTTAGAATGTGATATCATAACTCACATATATATTATATACGCTGAAATGAGAATGCTTGTATATGACAAGGAAGAAAGGAAGATCAGACTTTTTTTTATGATTATTTGTATTGTATTATGCTGGATATTAAGTTTATCAAACATACAATGTGTATCAAATTTAAATTCTTCTAATTACATTGATTTAGCATCTTATTGCTTGATATACAATGAAATCAAGTATTTTAACTGGTAATTTGACCTGAAATATTAGTAATACAACATTACCATCTTCTGAACTTCGGTAGTTAATATTTACACTTTTAAACGTCCTTCCTTTTTACTGCATAGTAGAATTAATTTAAATAAATATAACGTGAATATTCCTTTTCTTTTATTAAAAGTTAACTGCTAATCAATATTTTACAAATACTAAAATGAATGGGTTCAGACTACTTGATTAGGATGCAAGCATTTATCGTCACTGGTGATTGTAGATATAGGGTGAAATGGCTCAGAATCAATAGCAGTGGAACAGATCCACTAACTTTTTTCATTCCTTATAACCTGAGTTTTAAAATCATCTTATATTTATCTCACGAATTCATTCCTTCGTTTTCGAATTATAACATATCTACTTAATATTTTCGACTATCACCACCGTGGTCACAACTTCTACTACTCTGATATGGTGTAGTAAAATTAAACCAAAGCAAATCTGTTGTGGTTTCTACGGTGTGTATGACTAACTGATTAATATAACTATATTAAATAGTTTAGGTTTAAAAGCTAGAAAATTAGCTGAACAAGTCGATATTTGTCATTCATAGTACCAGATTTTAAAGTATATTTCACAAAAATCTGATTAAAGTATATATGTATTTAAAAGATGAAATACTTACACTACGATATTTTCAAGTGAACATAATAAATCATCTAATAACAAATGATGTACATATGACCAAGAAAAGTTGGTTAATTCAAATTTCATTGATTTATCCTCTTTCTTCAAATTATTCGCTTCAGTGATCACTTTATTCTCTACATTGTGATTGTGACTGGAAGGAGAATTTGGTTGATGATTAGGTGATGTTTTCGGTAATGATAAAGGCGGTATTTCAATATTTTCATAAGATAAAATTGAATCAGACGGAGTTCGGTCAAGTATCTGATCTATAATTAATAACGATATTAGGTGTAATTACTATTATTATTAATATCTTATTAGTGATATCATAAGGTGATGATAAACAATCTTCGTAATAAAATGTTTTGATTGCCATTTAATCATCGAGGATAAAAATGTTTTAATAAACCGACACCCCTACCAATAACATGAGAGAAAATGAAAATCATCTAAGTCATTGGCACAATGAAGAAAAGATAATTAGAATTTGAAATGTGAAGGTTTAGCTTATTACCTGAATTACATACTGAACTTGAACAACTGTTATTGGCATTGTTATCAACGTTTTTGTTATTATCAGCATTACTGTTATTATTACTATTATTTTCCATTAATGCATTGTTGGATGGTAACTGATCATCTTTAATTTGACAAGATCCATATTCTGTTAGATCAACACCGAGAGAACTGTCCAATTCAGTAGAGCTTTTGTTTGAAAATAATACTGATGTGTTTGTATGTGTTAAGTTGGAATCCTTTTCATCCACTGTACACTTTGGTTTGGCAGTCTAAAAAATTAATAATGATTATTTAAGACTGTCAATTTCTTTTCAAGGAATGTAAATATAGGTCCTATTTGATGTATTTAATTATTATTTGAAAAATATTTATCAGCACAAAAACAGACAAAACAAAAAGAACAACAATAAATGATATAAAAGTATTGGTAACAAAAATGGATGAAATATAATTATAAATTTACATTCGAAAACAATAAAGAGTAATAAGGTCATCATTGGAATCACTAAACGATCTAAGTTAGACTACCATTGAAAAATTGGAAGCACTGGACGGTCGTTTCTTCCTAGTATGAAGCATCTAGGTACTGAGCAACTACAACTCCACAACAGGGATCTGAAATCAAGACCTTCAGTCTGATGCACAAACGCTGAACATCTAGACCACAGAGCTCCCACCCAACTATGATGAAACGACCGTACAGTCCGTTTGGGTTTTAATTAATGTTCTAATTTAGATCGACTCATAATTTCAATGAAATCCAACAATCTCCACAATATTATACTGAAAATAATCAGACTATTTTATTCCATAATTTAATTCACCTACCAAAGAAAAATATCTCGACCAGCATCTAGTTGAATTTGTACTTTAAAATTGGTGAATTGAAGGTGTTTAAGGGCTGGAGATAACAGGTTCACTGATGTCAACTATAATCAAACGATTTACTATTATGACTAAATATCAGTGCATATGAAGTTTTGTCAAGGTTTAGGCAAAAGGTTCTATGAAAATTGAACAGGGAGTGTGTATTTATAAAGAATATAAGAAATAGTTTATTTAAATACATCACAAGTTGGAATTTATTAGTTGTGATATTAAATATCTGTATTATGCATTGTAGAGAAAATGCCATCGTATCCTTTTAAGTTACAAAGCAAATGACATTCATGACAGTGAATATAATCGATAATTTATAAATGAAAAATGAGACATAGGCGTGGTTTTTCATTGAAAATTTCAAAAGGAAGTATACGCCTAAAATATAGTTGGAAATATCACGTTTTTCCCTAACGATAATTAAAATCAACAATTTAAGGTTTTTCAAAGCACAGATATCACATGCTTTTTAAACACCTTAAAAGAAACAAATAATAATGATTACTTCTTAGTTAGACGGAAAATAGATAAATCTAAACAGCTGAATCAATGAGACATTTTTGATTTATAAAAAGGACATCATCACATAAAAACAAATGACTAGATGTCCAATTATAGAACAACAAACTAACATACTTTTAACTAATCTATAATGAAAATAATCAAGGAAGATAGTGAATAAATTTTTCGTGAGTACAGTTTATATTTGATGCTGAAGGTCCAAAACCAGATTGACAGACTTTATGATAAGAGTCCCTTCCACAAAACAGTTTCAATTAATCAATGTAAACAAGTTGTACAAGAAGTATGGTTAATTTTAATAAGATGATTAGATAAGTGCGTTTTATCTCAACTACATTTTGAAGTGATTAACTGAGTGATTCAATTAGCTTTAAAATATAATAAATTGTCTCTATGACACGAGGTTGCTGTTCCTTAAGACCTTCCACATTTTAGAGAGTTATTTGGTGATATTTGAAGAGAACAATGACAACGGTCAATATTTAAATCCACTGTTCAGTGTGACTCATTTTTTTATGTCGGTCTATTTGAGACAGACTTTCTCTGATATCTCAACGAATGAATTTCATAATCAGGTTTCAAACAAAGACAAACACAGCTCTTGACATTATGAAAAAAGTCAAAGAAGATTCAGCTGAGTTATACTGAGTTGAGTGTAGCCAATCAAAAATTTCAAAATAGAAACATTATCAGTTAGATGAAAAACATATATATATATATATATATATATATATATATATATATATATATATATATATATATATATATATATATATAATAAAAATAAGTAAAATATACCACTCACTTCTTGCTTTTCTTTAAGGCAAGTAGATCTTTCTTCACAAATGTGTAAGTGTATCAGTGCTAATGTATCAACAAGTACTTGCCAACTACCATATTCATGACATATTCCGTATATTAATAAAATTCGTATCAAATGTAAAATTTTCACAAGAAAATTAGCATTTGTTTTATTGTTGGGATATAATGGTACTAAGTGAAGTAACCAGTCTTGCCAAACAGATAATTGTAATATAGTTCTGTGATGATTATAATCATAAAGTAAGACAAAAAAGGACCCATAAATAATTAATGAATTAATTATGCATTGAACATTGACAAGATGTAAGGGTTCAATGAGAGGAGCTGATACTATAGTTCCTTGGAATAACTACGGTTATATTAGTGCTTTAATACAGTTCGATGAGTTCATACAATTTCACTAAATAACACAGTATGTCTATTTATTATTTCTGTGGTTAAGCAATTAGATGGCCAATAACTGTTTAAAACAGTATATATACCTTACTGACAATTAGAATTTCATTACAGGCGTAGCTAAGAGAAATACACGTCCGTAAATTTGTTGATTGATCGGTGTTCAAGGAAGAGTATATGCTTCCAAATATACGAGCTTTGTTCAATCAAAGAAAAATGAAACTATTTTAGGCCACTTGACTATAAGTCATTATAGGTTCTAGGTATTTTACTACAAAACAATAACTTCTTTCTTTTTGTTTGTGAATCATCACGATCCAAAAGACTATTTAAACGAGAGTATTCTTCACTGTGAAATGACGCACCTGGCGAAACATTCAAAAAAAGGAAAAATTGTTCTACAGCTGTTTCGTTGACAGGGTTGAGCTTCGCAGGAGCGCAAACCCACGATCTCATTGAAAATCTCCAGGTATAATGGTGAACAGCGAACCAACCAAGCAGCGATTCAATTTCCATTACTTAATCGTTCTTGAAATAAAGCAATCTCCATATAATATCACTAATCGACAACTGAATCAGTTTTGCTTAGGCTGATTCCAAAAATAGTTTTTTTCACAGAACTTCAGTAAATACGTCTACAGACTATTTACGATCGTACATGTATGAGTATCACCTACTTTGACGGTTTGCAGAAATATGGTAACATTTAAAATTAAAATTTCAGTTGTTTACACATTATTGAACCTAAATCATATACCACAAGGCATATTTTGCAGTCCAATTGGACCAGTCAACGTGATGACGCGATAACTTCCTATCACTCATGTATATCTAGGTATTCATGAGAAGTTTCATTTTGTACATTTTTTCTTAAAATGTTAAATCATTACGAATTTCGGAAAGGAGACAGTTTAAATTAGTTGTTAAAAAATATCTCAATAATTCTTTTTGAACTTACTTTTTATTATATGGATTCTGTGAAAATACATATAAATGTTGAATAAAAGTGTCTTTAATGGATAAAATCTCATTTGTTTGTTCTGACTGAGCAATAAGATGTGCAATAACTTTAAGCACAGCTATAAAATAAAAATATAGAAATAAAAATAAGTCAATGAATAAGTAAACTACGTAGGAGTGAAGGAACAATAGTTAATGCTTTGTAAAGTGAAGGGAATTGTGTACTTTCAGTTTATTGATATCCTTTAAGAAATGGGTTTGTTAAGAGGATGTCTACATTTACAAGTTAATTATATTTAAGACATACATTTGCTCACAAAGAGTGTAGGTGTCAAATGAAATTGATCAATTCTATACACGGAATATTTATCCACAAATCTTTCAGTTACTATCCATGTGAAGATTTGATGGTATTAACTAAATGTAAAAATCAAAGCAGAACAGAGTTCAAAGTTGATTTAACCAGCAATCCGCCTCAAAAGAAACATTAACAACGGAGAAACATGAATATCAACAATTTGATAGCAAATATGTATTATTCGCGCCAAACAAGTTAATATCTATTTATCGTATTAAAGATAGTTTATTTAATGACAGAATAAACAATAAAGATGAAAAGTAATTTTAGAAAACTCTTACCGGGGTTTTTAATTATCGACATTGTTTTATTAATATTAATAGGATTAATAAGAATTTTCGGTGAAACGCATTCAGTCATTACCTACAGATCAAAAACATTAAAATGAAAAGAAAACTCATCGGATATCAGTGTTACCTTACAGTGAATGAAACTAAAATATACAAAAGTTAACATACTTATTTTAAAAAACCAATTTACACTTTATCTCTCGAAGGATATGCATGTATACAACGTAAATTACAAATACTTGTATGTTTAAATAAAACGCTATGAGCCATAACTAATGTGTGAAGGATAGTGAAAACATATAGATAGTTATAAGTAAATAAAATGGGAATAACGGTCATGATGCTGGTTCAAAAAAGGTCGAGTAATTCATGCAAATTAAGAATTCTTCACACTGGCTTCTTCAGATTCCGTTCAGCTATAGTATTAAAAATACCATGCTCATGTGATATAAGGCACATCACATATCTGAATGTGAACATCAAAATTAGGATGCAGATACATCCAGCCCACGAGTCCTATCCTGTATAAGAAAGAACGTCCGCCCTGGTTTTCACTGCTAGCAACATACCAAATATCATACATTTCAGTTTAATGTAAAAACATACCTAATAAACACCGATATAAAACAGGTATAAGAACATAGTACCTCACTCAGACAAAACAACAACTATACTCGAATAATGGCAACTTAATAAATCAAGGTATATTTAACATATAAACGAGAAATGTAATCATATTCACATAAAAATTCAAAAATACTATCAAGATAAAATTCTAGTATCTAAACAAAAATAGGGATGATCATTAAGTCATCCCTTAAATCCAAGTAACATTGATATTATAAGCGCGGAACTTTTGAATTTCAGAAAGACCTATCTAATAATCACTGTAATTATAATTTTGAATTATTATCCTGCGATTTATTCATCATTGATGCACATACTGTCATTCAATAATTACGAACGACTGTAAGTAGAAGATATTCATCACAGTGTAAAAAAATTACATAAAAACATTGTCCGCTCGTTCGAACCGTCCGTAGAAAAATTAACGTAAAAATGAATTAATGATTGATAGTGCAATTCACTAGATTTTTGTATAGATGATATTGTTTAGGACGATAACGAAAATTTTCGATTGAACCATTCAGCTCAAAGAAATTATTACTATTATTATATTTATTATATTATATCATACTTTGAATTGATCCATAAATTATTAGAATCTCAAAATCAGAACAAATAATAACAGCTTTTGTTAATAATAACAAGATTGCATTTAATACTTACAATCAATTCATGATATTAAGGACGAAGAAACGGATTATTTGTGGAAATGATTAAGGATTAAGACCATTTAATTTTACCATGAAGTTTCAGCACTACTAAAATGAAATTCATTTGTATGACCGAGTTTTATACTAAAATAGTTTTTGTTTAGCTTTATGTGATTGTAATGTTAAAAGAGAAGATAACAAATAATTCTTTTAAGATCAATCAAACGTATAAATCAGGTCGAGTGATTGTTTTATAACTAATTAAATATTACCGGTGGAAATTTGATTCATTAGTATTATTTTGCAAACAGATAAGATAAGGTTATTAGACAGGAACATTACATTTTGAACAAAACAGAATTTTCTAGTAAAGATAAAAAAATGTTATACATAAACGAAAATGGATAACATATGTCTAAATTTACCTCAGAGGGAAATTGAACAAAAACCTACCTCGAATAATGCATTGTATATTAATGAAGTGAACTGAGGAGACGTTGAATTCAAACGTTCTTCCAAAAGAGAATATAAAGCGAAACATTCGATTGTATTGTCATAAACCCTAAATTAAAAATAAAGTTGGAGATAATGGATATATCAATATAAAGAAAGAAATGAAGTTGAAAAAGGATTAAAGGTGAATCTCCTGACAGGAAATGGCTAATAATCAATATGCAAGCTTACAATTGCCGAGAATTATTCAGCCTGAAAGTATTCGCTCAAACAGTAATCATGTAAATATGGGAAAAAACACAACAAAAAGTGGAAAATGATCTTTAACTAACAATTTTTTTCCATAAACAAGATATAATCCGAATAATTTGATAGCATATATCCGAACGTGTTCATCTTCAGAGGTGAGTAATTTGAATACGCAATGAATTCCGTTAGTGCGAACAAATACTGGACCACATGTATTGGGAAATTCAATCAAAGTACTGACCAATAAGTAAAGTACATCGTGAATATTTTCCGGCTAAATTAAAATTGTAGACGTGAAGAAACAGTGTATACAGTTGAAGCTATACGAAAAGGTACTTTCTAACTGAATAAGTGAAAATATTAATACTCAGATTTTAAAATCAAATTCATAGACATAAAGATATTTGAGTCAACTGGAATTGAGTGACAATGATAGCCAATGTGATAGTGAAACTTTCACAAGCTACTCGGAAAACATAATTTAAAGAAAGCACCTACAGCTTTAGTCACAAAACCTTTCCGTATATCTCCTGAAATTAGAATGATTCATGCAGTGTTGACATAAAATAATGGCGACCGAATAAAGTCATCAAATGTAGGTGTCATTACCAAGGTTTGATTTGATAATTTCGAATAAATTGAGCATTGGGTAGATTGTTATAAATAAAAATAATATATTTGTGATATCCCAATGAGTAGAAAATTGGATTTTTCTGACGTTTCGTGGCTTAGTGTAAGTCACTTCTTCAGAGAATAAATAACCAAATTAAATTAATCCGCTGTACTATTTAAACTTGGATTAATTTAATTTGGTTATTTATTCTCTGAAGAAGTGACTTACAATAAGCCACGAAACGTCAGAAAAATCCAATTTTCTACTCATTGGGATATCACAAATATATTATTTTTATTTAAAAGTCATCAAATATCCACAGATGTCACAAATTTAGGGAACTGAGTAAAATAAACGGTTGCAAGCTCGACTTATATGAACTAGAGCGATTATGTGAAGGTGTACAAGATAGTAATCTAGTAGGCAAATGATTCCTCTAATTTTTGTTATGCAGCGACAAGTTCAATCTGGCAAACCACAAAGAGCATTAAAGGAACCACCCGGATTTGTGGACTTTTCTTTCACTAATAATGATTTAGAACTATTACTGGAAAAAAGGGATTCTCATCTGTTAATCTAAGGACATTATCTTTGACTTTATTGGTGCAGTATGTGCGAAATCATTTATTGACAGCTGGCTATGTGGTATATACAGCCTAAACTTGAAACGACAAAATTCTGATTCCTAACATCATAATGAAGCACTATCTACATAGAAATCTCCATAATGCCACCAGAGAAGACCTTGAAAGAAGACCTGCTATACAATACGATTTTGGATGACGGATTCAAATTATGTTGCTAAACAGAGTTTCACTCTACTTAAGACCGTTCAAAAAATTCAGTATCATAAAAAACAAACATCCTATAATGTCCAAAAATTACTGATAACTCATAAATTCCATTAAAGCATTGTAGTTTATGTTTTATTGGCTCAATGGGTCAGCTAACCAAACGTGACTTCTCTTGTACTAAATGCTTTATTTTCACCTCTAAACGATGAACACGCATCATATGCACAAGTGAGAGTAAGCGATAAAAAATTCTACTGTATGTTCACTAAATAATAAAGTAATTCAACGTAGTTCAATTTTCTAAAGTACTGATAGACTTATCTCCATGTTAAATGGTAGTTATTTGAGAGAATTTAAATTCAGCCATTTTTTGTAATTTAGTTTACATTGTTAAACATTCGAACGTTACGCCAGACGCCATTGTACATATGTATCTTAATAAAACAAGTTACTTTCATTTTTATACGTTTGTGTAACCTTTAACAAATTCTGAACTCAAACCTTACTAGTCCAAACGCAGGTATTCCATCAAAATTTGAGCTGTTTATGTTATCTCAAGTTGAAAATGTAAGCTGAATCGTGAACTTAATTAAACAAATAATAACGCACATGTTTTATTCTCCTTGTGAAGTATCAATCAAAGTAATAATAAATAATAATAATATCAGCCCTGACCAAAACATGTGACAAATGAAAATATAAACAAACAGAAATTTTATTAGATGAAGAATTTTTAGTACTTATTCTGAAGAACAGAAAATGTTGATAATACGCTTATAAATAAATAAGAATATTTTTTAAAATTAAGTATTTATTAAAAATAATGATCAATGAAGATGGCTAAGGGATTTATGTTACCTCATGGACAGTAGTTAAAAAGGCTAGAATTAGCTGCATCTCATCATCCGTAATTCCACCACGTGTAAATAAACGTTTCAGATAAATCAATAAGTTTGTACGAAGTTTAATCAATTTTTCAACTGAACCAATTATCTCATGATCTAATAATAATAACACAATATAACGTAAAAAATTGACTATGAAGATTGTCAAAAAATAAGTACACAAAACAAATGTAATTATATGTAAAAACAACGAAATCAGTAGGTAAATATTTGAGCGTACAATAGGTATTGAACCATCCAAATGGTGTGGATATAAAAGAGTTATAGTGTCATGTTCAAGATCAACTGAAATAGACCTGACACATTAACCACTCAATCGTAAATTTATTGATAAATATAACCAAATAAGTGATTTTATTTATTTAAAAGCATTGATTTCTCTGTCACATATGAAGGTAAATGGTTAAAAAACCAATTTATCAAATAATACGAGAGAATGTATTTACTACTAATGTGTTCAGAACACTTTTAAACACCAATGAACACTTATATTTTAAAACTTACATCAGCAAAAGTAATTACTGAGTTTTTAAAATAAGTCACTTAGCATCATGTATTTTCATATCTTTTGAGTAGTTCATTGAAAATTAAAAGCTGAATTTCGTTAATTGAACGATAAAGCTGATTAATCGGATAGGGACCAAAGACATTTTTAATCACAATTTACATCAAGTCCTGAAGCCTTCTATTGCACTAGTAAGTGGTCTTATTTAAAATATGAACAAAATGCTTCAATTCAGAATTATATACACATTTCAACATTATCTAGCAATAAACAAATTTATAGTTGGTTTCCGTATTTCACTGAACGTAATTTTTCCTCATAGGAGGGTAGGTGAATTCTTGATCTTAACGCTAGTTATTGAAAAATATTTTAATTAAGATATTATTACAAATCATATACCAGAAAGCATGTTCAAGAATTCTGTGCACAAACGAACACTAACAAAATCTATATTCACAGAAATGTCAACAAGAAAAGTTTTTTACTAAATAAGAGGTGACTGTCATAACTATCAGTTCTAGCAGATAGCATATTTTCCGAATTATAAAACAGCATCCATCCAAATATTCTATATCAAGTTAATTTTAAAAGATTCAACAGTTCATCATGATTACTTGCTTAAACACAAACACTGAACGTTTACAAGTACTGTGATCAAGATGTGAATCAGCATGCTCTAAAGGTCATCTTGAAGAGCAATAACTAAACGATTATATTACTATGTCACCGATGTAAGCAGCCACTATCTAATATAGTCCAAAATTTCATGCAGAATTCTCAATAACATTTATGCATGCAGTAATAGCTATACTTACGCAACCTGCATTCGGCTGGTACAATACGCTTCAACTGAGAAATACAGTAAAAAATCACGGCTGTAAGTATCTAATCACAACTATGAATTCATACATTATAATACGACCAAAACTAATGTTCTTTAATCAAAGTTAAATAGTAGCTAGCAGTGGAATCCAGAACTCGTACTTTGTCTTATTCAAATGTCATCAGCTAGGATGTAGGTGCATCCTAGTGTTTATGAACACTCCGTAACCTAAAAAAATCCCTTCGCTTTAAATAAACAACGCGTTATCTACTTAGAAACTGAGTCCAGATAGGCGCTGACTTGAGCAACAGGGACGAAATTTACTTTATTATGAGTCTTAAGCTCCTTAAAGTTGAAGTTAAGGTCTGTGTAACTGATCAGTCACTTTTGGTTATCTGAATTCAATAGCTAAGCGGATAACATGTTGGATGTTAGATGCGAAAAGCATTGTGCTTAAGTCCCGACGTAAACATCAACAGTAGGATGTGGTTGCATCTGGATAACGAATCCTGAAAGGGACGAAACACTAGTCTTGAATTCCGCTGTTGGACGCTATCCATCTTAGCTTATAAGTAGTTGTGATTTAACGGTAATCAGCGCTCAGGATGCACATATGTCAATATAGGTTGATTAATTACAGTTCTTAGCATTAACAGCAAGAAGATTCAAAGAATCACAAATGAAATAAGAAGCTTTAGACATTTTTAACCCGGCATAAATTTGAAGTGATGCCTATGACTACGTTATGTAATTGACTAAAAGTCAGACTTTACTACTGAATAGTTAAGTAACGAACAGTAAATCTTTGTTCTGATCACGAATTAATTCCAATCACTGAACTATTTCAATAGCTGATGAAAAAAATCATGTATCAAAGAATCTACAGAAAGTAAAGTGACTGCAATAATGGCTGTAATAAAAATTATTTATTATAAAGTAAACTAGTAATAAAAATTTCAAAAATGATATCAGTGCATAAATAATCTTAGAAAAACAACATTTAGGCGCTATCGTGAGGATCAGTGAGCATTTTTAAAACACTAATTCAATCCATGCTATCATGTGGAAACAAATCCACAACCTGAAGTTTGTGCAGCGTATCCTCTCAAAAGGCTATAAATAAATAGTGTTCCTATTTATGACCCTTTCCTCTACCCTGTAATTGTCAAGATGTGTTATACATTACAACAAACTGAAAGACATATAAGGTAGGAAATTACACAAATCAAACTGAAATAACCAAACTACACTAGATAATCCTTAATTTGACAAAGTCGTAATCTAGCGTAAATACATACGTAGGGAAATTAAAATGCACTAAAAACTGAGTATGATAAGAAATGGTATTTATTATCACTAGTTTACTAAACTGGAGGTATGAAATGTAGTAATAAGATAAAATATCACATGTAGCTAACAACACAATTCAGTATTCAATCTAGTTATTTGGTGGGTGAATTAACTTCAGCATCTGAGGCTATTAGTTTACTGTTTCAATTAATATTTCATATCTTATAACAGTTCTGATTTGGATTCGTAATTGGAATACGTATATACTGCTTGAGATAAATTTATTTGAAGCGCTATGTAATTATCTACCTTAAACTTTAATGCCGAACACGTAAAACACAAGCATATAGTTTTGTGAATTATTTGTAGTACGCGTTTCTACCAACGTTTACGATTATTTTTAAAAATAAACAATCACTTCGACAAAGGAATTTATTTACCTGGGTTTATTTACAAAAATGAATAATTGCATACACTTATTTAAATATTAGACGGATAAATGCTATCATAAATTAACGGTAACATTAAAAAAAATTGTTTTGTTATATTTTTAATAATTACCTGGTGTACAAAGTTCATAACCACTTCGTGCACGAGGATTTGTCAATGCCAAATAATATTTTAATGCGTTTAAACAATGAATTATAGTTCCAATTCGTTCAATATAACCTAAACTAACAGCTTCCATAAAATCAGTAGCTAAAAATTGATACAACTGTTCCTGAACCTAGAAATATAAGAGTGAGTCGAAAAAAAATATTGGTTGAAAATTACAAATCACTATCAATTTAATTAATTACTGAAATATTAAGTATAAACCATGTTGACAAAATTCACTGTTACCATATAGAGATGATGACTAAATATTAATGAGTACCTCCCCCAGTAACGAACAAATTCAAATCAATAGACTTTAGATTACTACTTTCATACTCTACAAATGTTGAACAATAATTCGTTCTAACCAAGATGATCTTAATATAAAAAAGCAAGGATTTTATAATCTCAAATCGATGGAATAATATAGAATTAAAAAAGGACTGAAAAATTTGCAGATGTTTAGAATAGATTCGATTATATCACCTCTGAATTCATTCAACTACAAACATTGTACAATGTATATCTAGTATTTTAATCAATCTATTCTAACTAACAAAATCCAGTGACCAATATGAACACTGTCTAATTACTGATCTCACTTAATAGTACCTTTTCTTGACTAGTAACCATATTAAAATTTCTCTTAACAAAATTAATTAACAATACTAATTACATTTGGATAAAAAATTCCATAAAATTTAACTAGATTATAAAACCCAATTACAAAATCATATCCTGAAGTATTTGGTTCATATATAGTAAACTGTTCAACAGAATAGAATTTATTTATTTGATTTTTTAAGAAAAATTATAGATAAACTTTCCTATTAATTAACAATTAGTAATTCACTTTTCATTTTTCTAAATATTCTATCTTTTAAAAAATATTATTATTTCGAAAATCTTTTATAACACTTTTCAAAACATGGTCCCTATTCACTGAATTCATAGTTTAATTCATTTACACTAAAAAAATTCTATAAGGATATGTCTTTTTAGTTATGTATAAGAAAGTTTGTGTTAGGTGGATTTTATTAGTTTAATCAAAATCCTAGGAAAATGCTGCAGAACAAGAAGAAAAATAAGGAAAAGCTGTTGACATGGTAAATAGAAACTAAGTTTCAATATACCTTTTACTTGTTCAGTGTAAAAAACAATAGTATACACCGGAAGAATACTACTTTTTCAGTATTCCGCCTTTAGTTATATATATATATATATATATATATATATATATATATATATATATATATATATTCCAGAAATCCCATAAAAAATCAACAACTTACATCTAGGGTAGATTTACACCATAGTTCTGAGTTACTTAGGAAATACCCATACATTTGTCTGATGAGTATAATGTAAATATTAACGTTCGATGTTAAATTACTGTGAATGTTCGACTCGTCATGAGTTGATTTAATCATTTTTAGTAAATACAGCGTGAAATTCGTAATTTCATCCAGTAAACTCTTCGTTAAATGCTTCATATCTGATTGATTTAACGCATTAGCAATGATAAGTAGACCTTTAGTTGCAACAAATTGACTTCTCAATGTAGATGACATACGAACTAAACCAAAAATAAAGCGAACCAGAATTGTTCTGTAGAACAAGAGAGCAAGAAAAGAAAAAAGTTATCCAATTTTCAAAGAATAAACGATACACATGCAAATAATAGAAACCACGTTATTAAGATTTTTAAAAATGATAACTTCCATCAGAACTCTTGCTTTATTAAGATTATTAGATAAATTAGATCACAGTAAGGGTACGTAGTAACTTTGTATGCCTAAAATATATTTCAACTGCCTTGGTTGATAACATCCTTAGACTCATCAACAGACTAACCTTCCCTACTAATTTCACTACTCCTAAAACGTCCACATTACTTATTCCGTCTAGTTATTCACAGCCGGTGCTTCAAACATACCTACGATAGAAAGATGTCGAAAATTAGGCATTTTGTTTCACTATATTTTGAAGAAAGGCTTAGTCCCATATTGCAAGACAGTTCAACAAAAAATTTCAGGAATAATTGAGAAAAAACTGTCACTCAACAACACATAAATCTACCAAAATAAAATGAATAGAACATTAAGAATCTAAAGAATATTGAAATAAATATTTAAAACGCAATTAAGTAATACGTACGGGATTTCAGGTGTAGAAAGTTGAAGATTGGCAAACGATGGATGAAGAGCAAGTATTTCTAGAACATTTAATTTATTTTCAAAAGCAACAGACTTCTCAGAAGGCCAATCCAAGCGACTAAATAAAGGATAAAATAAGTGCATGCCCCCCAGTTTGATGAATAAATCAGACACTGAACTGTTTATTACGGGAGAGACATTCTGAATAATAAAATGGAAAAGAGAAGGATGAAGTGCTAAATTGAACAGATTTTCAAGAAACTACTTGCTTTTTATGAACCAATAAAATATATTTTCACTTGATTAAGTGCTAAGAAAACAACAGACAAGTTGATATGAAGATATTGCACTAATAATACCAAATAAGTTTACTTTAAAAAAAACATGGTTGCTCCTTAATCTAAGTGAAATTATAAGAAAGAAAAATCTCAGGACAAGTTGCGTCATCACTAGAAAAATGGACCAGTGAGCATACATTTCACACTATAACGTAGTAGAAGGAGTTTCAAGGTTTTTGGTTTAATTAGGAGAAATAGAAATAAAACATGTACTGATCTAAGACTATGATACGACAACGACATTCTTATCAAAATTAAAAAAGTAGCAGTATGTAATGTAGTTATTTTACACCGCGTTGTAGAAAAGCTCAATTCGACTCTGAGAGATATGGAGTGAGCAACTTAGATCGTATTTTGTATTAGTTACATCGTATTAGAGGTCACTAAACGATATGCATACAACTACACGGAACGAATGGTCAAGTTTTCAAGGAATGGGATACACAATGAACGACAGCGTCGTAATGGATGATGAGAATTGAAAAAAAGTAAATTATACTGACGGCCTCGAGTGAATCTATCAGAATTTAAATGGTGCCTACTCTATTTTTGCACGAAAATAAAGGCAGTGTTAAATACCTTGTATGTTGTGAATAACTGGGTAAAAATTGGAAATATTTGTTTTCGAAAATGTTTGAAGATAATAAAAATGTCCACTGTGTAACCGAACAGTGAATATAATATCGTGCTTAATCTATACCACAATAAATACCTACTCCTAATCCAGAGTGTATGTTAAACCGCTTGGTGTGATTCAGTACATAGTTAACGGTGTTTGTGCATCGAAATAGTATCCTACCACTCCAGATGACACTAGATCTCATCCCTGTTTTTTAAGCTTCTAAACAAAAGGATGAAAAAGCATTATTGCATTAAAGCTGATGTCGCTGTGTTAGTACCCTTAAACTTAATTTTTAGTCCTAGCACGAATATAGTTTAAATTCCATTACTTAAACCTAACCTTTTGCATGATAGCTCATGTCACTTAGTGACGAAAACCCTACAGGGTGGTGAACTTAACTCTCAACTCTAGCCTAGCTTGCAGTATGCAAACTTGACCTTTAATTCATCATATTGAAATCACTATTCCACTGTAATTTTATAGCTTTTTTATCGTTTGTTGTTTTATAACTAGGGAGTATTTTATAATCGTCAGTAAAGTGTACTTTTACTTGAGGATTTCATCCACGTGACATTTTACGAGCCCATACAACTAGCTGGTAAAGCGACGGTAAAAACGCGGTATTACTTGTGGTTTAAAAACGATATAAGGTACAATACAACGCATTTTAGTACAGAAAACGGATGTATTATCAATGGAAAAAAACATAGATCGCAAAGGATTATTTTATCACGATATTAAGTACAAACAGAACCTTACCTCACTCATTAAAGCATGCAAAGATGTTTGATTTGACTGGTGGAAGTTTACAGCCTGATTAAGACATAACCGACCATCACAAGAAAGAGGATTGTATGCAAACACAAGGGAGTTAAACAGCTTGTTAAAATCACTAATTATTTCGGTTTGATTAGATAAAGACTCATCACAGATATCAGCTTCAAAATGGAACTGACCCTAGGAATCAAATTTATTAAAATATAATAAAATAAGATAAAATGAAAACAAAGATATTACAGACAGCATAGTATAGAAAATACCAGTAATAAAGTTTTGACTATGAGATTAATTACGTTTAGTCTTGCAATTATTTAGATATCCACAGTGACGACCAACGTTATCTAATTCAACAGTAGCATTTATATAAGTGTTCTGTAAAAATCATAGATATGAAAAAAAACACTAGAACATTAAGCAAACGTTTATTTTTTCAGGTTACCGCACCTCTCAACGGGAAGACCAAACATCGGAAATTTACCAAAGCACATAAGTATATCATGAATGGAATAAACTAACGTGGAAACATTAATTAAAATTAGCAGGATAATTAAGATTCGGATAAATGGTAAACATATCTCCAACAGTGTAAAGAAATTCGGACTATACTGCATAGCATGTAAAAAATGATGACCGTATTAACGACGAACTTACGTTTCTAAAAAATTAAGTGAGATGGTAAGTGACATTTTGGTTTGATGTTCTGCTTTTGATGCTACTATCATCAGCTTTTCCCTGACTTATTCACACTCTATTTCACATCAGAATGTATAAACTAGTATGAGAAATACATAAAAAAGACAAATGAGTCAACGTATGAGAACAATTACACTGATGGATTTATTATCCTTGTTAAAATCTACACGCGGCCTCAGAACCACTTTTCCGCCTGTTTCACCGCAAACTAGCAATATTTAAAATGAGTTCGCGCATAAACATGCTTAACTGTTATCCGCCGAATGTCATAATTTTTGGGTCACAGTATATTTCCATTTAATAAGAAGTCAGATACCTTATAGGTGGTATATATAGACTATGTTGAAAAGTGAGAAAGAAACCTTTATTTATTTTTTTAAGATTTCAAAGTCTCTCAATCACCAACCTTCCCTAGGCAACTCACAAATTTAAACTCAAGCCCTTCATTTTAACATATATTTTGAAAAATGAATATTCCTTAGACTGGTAGAGAAATCATGAAGCGATACTCTAAGTTGGTAAATCTAGAGAAATTACATAATTATTTTGAGAGTTACTACGATTTTCCATTTATTTGTGATTTTCGACAAGCAAATAAAAGAATTTAGTGTGTGAAATTCAGAATTAACGTGTTAAGGTACAAGCTTAGATTTAACCAAAAAGAGTAATAATAACTTAGTCATAAACCCACCGTCTAGGATGATAACAATGATAACGTTGTGTACATCGTGCAGTATTTTTTTGATGGATCGAGACAAGAACTAAGTCTGTTTTCAAAATATCTTCACAGGCCTCGGAGAGTATGATCAACTTGTACAACAATAGTTGTGAATATCAAAATCAATTTTGTATTTTATCAGCCTAATTGTATTCTAGTTTCATATATCAGCTTAAGGTCCAACCTATTATAACAGTGGTCAATTAATACCGAATAAGCCAAACAGTCAAACATTATTTGAATGAATTCAGATCGTTCGTCAAGTAAATACTTAGGTATTCTGTCAATTACGAAAGAGAGTGTGAAAATTCAGTCCCAAACCAAAATCACTGCACCGAAACAAATTAAGGCTTTTTACTAAACCACTCTAATATCAGTTATCATTTAGCTGGTTGATCAAAGAATATTATCAGAATTACTAGGAAGTATCGATTTACACGGAATAATCCGCTATTACGGACAGTAATAATCAATAATACTTTAATCCTTGAGGAACATAAATTTATAACCAACTTGGTTGTACAAAAATGTTAGGCCATATAACTACGAGGTAAACTATCAATACAGTTAGATCCAGATTACTGGATTTTCTAATACAAAACTTAACGCATTCTTCACTAGATAACGAACTGCCTTCCTAGAAAATCACAAGCTAAACAAATAGTAAATTCAGAACAATACATGGTGGAACATTTTCGTGTAAACGTACTTGGTACTTTGGACCTAAACAGTAAATATAACTGATTTGTTCCGGTGTAAGAGCCTCCGCAAACCCCATAATGTTAGACATATGGCCACAAAAACCATCTCCATTTGTAGTGTTACTGGATTGACCGATTAAACATGTCTTAAAAACCTATAGTAAAATAAGTTAATTGATAAATAAAACGCTGGTGATCATTGTACGAATTCATATAAGTTTTCAAGTAAAACACAATCTAATAACACCTCAGAAATGAAATGGAAAATTAAATTGATAGTATCAGGTATCAAGAGCGAAAAGATATATACACGTGTATGAACGAATATTTCAGGTTAACACTTCTGAAAAATAAAAATTTAAAATTTAAAAACTTGTTAGTCCAAAAGTGAATGTTCTATTAATTAGTATTATTAGAAAAACAAAATGAATCTTGGACTACAGATTGTTATTTAGTGGTAACTTCAGCTGCAAGAAAAAGTACAAGCTAGTGTCCTCATTGACCATTTAACAAGATTGACACGAGTGTTTTTAGGGGTAAGTGGACATTTGAACATCCGCATTGCTCAAACAATGCAAGAAAACATTTATTGGGGTGTGTAGAAAGCAAACTAAGTTAGGAGGGGTATTGACGACCCAAAAGCATGACCGACGATCTTCAACAGACGGCTGCTTGGAACCTGTGAAACATACCCTTTTGTAAATGGTTTCTTATTTATTAGCTTTACAGACTTCAATTCTTATCGATAACATAAGTTCGGGAAACAGGATGAAGAGTTTTAGTTTTACGTTCTACCATTTTTAGACTTTATATTCTGTTGTTAAAAGACGGGAAGAATGGTAAACAAGTTACAGGGATCGAACCTCACTACAGATAAAATTATTTATCCACGAACTCAAGATTTACTGTCTTTTGTCATATCGAAATCCAACTAACTAGTTTGTGATGATAGAACTTAAAATATTCCACCAAATGTAGGCCAATTGAGTCGTCATGAGAAATAACGACTATTAAGCCAAGGTAGCATCTGTAACAACGCTTCACTTACCAGTGACTTACACTACTTAAAACTAAGAAGCAAATGAATAAATACTTCTGAAAAACCTGAATAGTTACTTAGAAATACAGATCAAATTGTCTGTCAGTCATTTTAGTACATTCTCCTAAAACTATGAGAATCCTCATTTGTCCATGAGAAACATCTACAAATGTTGGAAAATCTACAACCGAAGCAAATAAGTAGACTTGTATGGAAGCGGATAGTGGCACTGCACAATGCATAAAAACCGTTTCACCTGCACAAGGAGAAAATCAACTGACAAAAAAATGTTTTGATTTATACCATCTATTAGAAGATAAATTTACATCTTAAACACTTGAAGTACGAGGTTTGAAATTAAAAAAATATCAATCCACTTTCTGGATAGTGAGGAAACGTTGACAGAATATAAATATCCAGTATGACGAGGTGAATAAAATGTTATGACTACTTTCATTTGATAACCTTAAAACCTGTTGGAAAACTTATTGAAGCATTAAAAGTAAAAAGCAAATAATAATTAGGAAACATCCTCTAGTTAACTGGATATCTTTCTCAAACGCCAATAATGAAGTGTGTAAACAGGAAACAGCATCAAAGGGAACAGGATGGAAATTCATCCATATAGGGCTTTATCAAATTAAGTAAAGACATTCTGAGTACCAACGGGTAGATAACGATTAATATTATAGTACATAATACTTAAACAAAAATAAATCTGTCATACCTCACAGGTATTTAGATGCCATGTAACGTCTACATTTGACACCAACGTACCATTAACGTAGCAAAGAATACCACTCCCACCCCACCGCAAAAACGAATAAACAATTGTAAGCATGAACCACTAAAATGAGAGTACTGATCATCAAAATAAATTAACAAACCTCATGAAGACAGAAAGAGAAATTGATCGGAAACTCATCAACCTTCCCCTTGCTACGACTCACAGATAAAAACAGAACTTCGTTAATAAAATAAGCTGAGAATCCTAACCGATCATAAGTTTGAAAGCTTGAAAGGAATAGTTATAAGACAGACAAGAAATTAATCTACCAATATAAATGCATTTTATTATTATTTGTTAAACGTTTTCGGTATATCCAGCAGTGAAATGTCCAACCAGCTTGGCTTGGCCACTTATCAGTGGGTGGTAGTGAAACACTCTGAAACAAAATTTAGAATAAGCATTACATACGGAATACGCATCATTTGGAAAACTAAAATAGGAACTTGGTGTTGAAGCGAATGGAATCGTATGCAAGAGTGAAAATAAACCGGCTGAAAAAGAAGGCTTAGGATTTTTTAAAATTCCACATTATTGAAAGGTACCCAAGTGTCTGGAGATTGGTAGATACGATACAACAATGAAGCCAAAACACTTGCAGATAGATGTGGAGAAAGTAACTCATGAAGCACTTTGCTCAAAGACATAGGATTTAAGCATTGTGCATTTTCGCACAACAGCACAAAACCGCCCACTTTCAGATAAAAGTTGACGACATCGTTGCTCACTGGTAGCTTCTAAAACATTATTTACGATATGTGACATACATGATCAGAAATGGACGAAGAAGGTTGAACATCATTGGTTTCACATTTGAAATCCAATTTACCCAAATGAATACGGAAAGCTTCAAGAATTTTCGCAACTGTGACAACGCTATCATCCATTTCCTAATGAAAATCTAAAACATTAGATATTTTATGATTGTAAAAACCTTACACCTTATCCAATATGTATCTACAAAACAATAAATATCGACGAGCGACTATTTTGAAATTATGAACATTTGTTTAATTAAAATATTTTTGTTATTCATTTCCGGAATTTGAGAATCTTTTATTCGTGGCCGAACGTAACGTAAAAGTCAAAAAGTAATATGCTAAATGACAGCTAATTTGATGCATTAAAAAACAAAATTTATTACTTCTCAGCACTTCGTTCGTTAATGCCTTGTCCGTTTGCTATTTGACATACTGAATAACTAAGTAACTATTTTTCGAATGTAATACCAGGTGACCGGAATATGGAGCAATATTCGAACACTTTTCAAAATACTTATCACATCGCAACGAACGTAACTCGATTTTGCATGAGAGAATGATCGATCTCTTCAATGTTATGGTCTTGGGATATTATGATCAGTTACTAAGAAACTTTTGTTGCAATTTCCTTCGTGCAGATTATTATTTCATTCGGTCGCAATCACACTGTAAACATTGATTTGGAGAAGTGTTATTTACTTTTACCAAGAAGTCGACCATATGTATTATTTTCTAATAACTTTTGTGCATGAATGATTGTGAAGAGTGCTGCATTTCCAGTTAAATATAGATTAAGCATCCATTTACTTCTCCTTAGTGATTTTTAATGACTGTATTTCTGTAGCGGTAAATAAATCCTCAAAATAAATAGCTCTAAGTTTTCGACATTGGATGCTGACCATATGTTTTAGTGGACGCGTCTAGCTGAAGGCGCTCGGTCATGCATCCGCACCAGACCACATGTGGTAACGCCGTGCTCAACATCAACCGAAATCGCTAGCCAGATCAGATAATTCCGATATTTTGGTTACCGCCGAATACACTCTTTCGATCTACTCGACTCTGTCTTTTGATTTCTCCTGTTGCGTACGAATTATGTTAGAAGGTGTTGCTGGTAGAAGCGTTGTCAAACTCTGAATATCTGTGCCATAACCATTGCTGAGACCGACGTGATCTGGTACACCTAATTGCAACTGTGAGTCTGTTCCTTTTTGGGATTTTTATATATTATTGCCTTATTTTTTAATTTTTACACATTGTGATATCTTTTCCCCGTGTCTCAGGATATCTATATTTTTCCCTCGTATTCTCGTACTTAATATTCCCCTTTGACCGAATAGACTTCTAAGTTATTTAAGATTAAGACCATGTCCCCACCCTCGTTCCAACTCATGCCCTTCTGGTCCGACAATTTCGAAGCCTGGTTCTGCTACGCAGAAGCCAACTTCCACGGGTACGGCGTGAACGACACACGTGCACGATTCCTCGCAGTAGTAAGGGCACTACCGCGCAAATTCAACAGGTACGTAACACCTAGTATGTTTATTAGTGATGATTCTGACCCGTACGAAAACATAAAGAGTTCGATTCTCAAACGAGAAGACCTAACCGATCGACAAAGATTAGATCAACTCTTTAATAACATCGACCTGCAACACGGTTCTGCGACGGACATGTTGCAACGGATGAGAGAGGTTTTACGACTAATAACTTTCGACGAAGGCCTATTCAAACAACCCTTCTTGTTCCAACTTCCCCGACAGGTACAAGCGGTTCTGGTCTCGTTTCAAAGCAACGCCTTAGACTAAATGCCTGCATTTGACGATCGTACCTTAGAAATTACGAAATCTTCTAATACCGAGGTATTCTCAGTCAAAGAAAAGCCTCAAACGACCCAGAATGACTTAACCGAGATATGTCATACACTCACGCGTTATCTTAATCTTCGTAACGGCCGTAAGAGATCGCGTACCCCACGTAGAAGCATTTCACGTAAGTGATCTGTCTCTAGATCAGGAGAGACGGATAATCCCGACTGGCGCTGGTATCACAACCAGTATGGAAAGTCTTCCAGAAATTGCAGAAAACCCTGCAATTTTCCCAACACGAAACCGACTGACTCGAAAAACAACTCGGGAAACTTCCAAGCCGGCACGCGTTAACGCCAACCGTAGCCGGCGAACATAGCCGTCTGTTATACGTCACAGATGTGACAACGAGAGTTCGCTACCTCGTGAACACTGGCGCAGAAGTTAGCGCTCTCCCAGCAAATCCTAACGACCGACTCCACGAATCGACCCCAAACTTACAGGCGGCAAACGGAAAACCGATCGTTACGTATGGCAAAAGGTACGTTTACCTTAACGTGGGTTTACGCAAACCCATTCACTGGATCTTCATTGTTGCAGATGTTTCTATGCCAATCATTGGTATGGACCTTCAACAAAATAATAATCTAATCATTGATACGGGCAAACGGAGGCTAGTAGATGGAAACACTAATTTATTCGTTTGAGTAACTTTTTTTCTGGTTGCAGATTATCCCCATTCACAATTAAACATATGATAGACCCACTTTATCAGTCACTACTCGATAAGTACCCTGGGATACAACAAACTTAACCGAAACTACCGTGTGTAACCAGCAACGTTACACATTACATCACAACTACAGGACCACCTGTATTTTCTAAAGCACGACGACTAGCTCCCGAAAAGCTAAGGTTAGCGAAAAACGAGTTCGACCATATGATAGACTTCAGAATCATACGACCGTCAAGTAGCCCATATGCATCTCCGTTGCACATGGTTTCTAAAAAGGACAGCAACGATTGGCGTCCAACTGGTGACTATCGGCGATTGAACGCGAAAACCATTCCCGATCGGTACCCGTTGCCTCACATTCACGATTTGACAGCTACCTTGAAGGGTACAACTGTCTTTTCGAAAATCGACTTGGTTAAAGCGTATAACCAAATCCGGATGGCTACTGACGACATACAGAAAACCGCCATCATTACTCCCTTCGGACTCTATGAATTTTTGCGAATGCCTTTCGGTCTAAGAAATGCTGCTCAAACATTCCAAAGATTCATAGACGACGTTTTTCGAGGTCTCAACTTCGTACACGCGTATGTTGACGACTGTCTAATCACATGTCCGGACAGAGAAACACATCTCAAGCATCTGGATCTTGTTTTCGAACGCTTACAAAAACATGGCATTACTGTAAACGTTCAGAAATGCCAAATTGGAACCGACTCATTAGACTTTCTGGGACACACTATCGATGCTCAAGGTATCTGACCCCTTAGAACCAAAGTGGCGGCCATTCTGGATTTCCCAGAACCGACCACTGTTAAGCAATTACGGACGTTTAACGGCCTCGTAAGTTTCTATAGACGTTTCATACCAAAATGCGCATTACTCATGAAACCGCTAACCGACCAACTTCGTGGAAATGCGAAATCCATTAATTTGGACGACACCGCACGAAAAGCATTCTCCACAGTTAAGGAACTGATTGCTAAAGCAACAATGCTTGCACATCAGGACACCGAAGCACCCATTAGTATCGCAGTAGACGCATCGCACTCGGCAATCGGTGGCGTTTTACAACAGTGGGTTAACAACTCCTGGCAACCCTTGGCATTTTTCTCTAGAAGGTTGCTAGTCACCGAATCGAGGTACAGCGCATTCGGTAGGGAACTCCTAGCTATGTATTGTGCTATACGGAATTTCCAACACTACATCAAAGGCCTTGAATTCACTCTTTTCACGGACCATAAACCGCTCACTTTCTCGTTAAGCTCTCCTTCAGACAAGTACTCTCCCCGTGAGTCTCGACAACCAGACTACATTTCGCAGTTTACTTCAGATATTCAACATATTTCTGGAGCAAATAATGTAGTTGCAGACGCCTTATCTCGCATAACTTCCTTGAACAGTTTCCAAGGAATCGACCTTCTGAAAGTCTCCCAGCTTGAAGAAGACACTGACCTTCAGCACGAGTTATCGTCCACAACCCTTAAACTAGGCATCAAACAGATGGGAACAGGTAACGAAACCTTACTTTGTGACACATCTCCAGGTAGGGATCGCCCAATCGTGCCGAAACATTATCGACACAATGTCTTCAACACATTGCACAAACTTTCGCATCCAGGTGTTCGTGCAACCATCAAGCTTATAGCAGAACGGCTTTGCTGGCCTGGCATGAATAAAGACGTGAGGGAGTGGGCACGCTCCTGTGTAAGCTGCCAAAAATCTAAGGTTATCAGACACAATAAATGTCCCTTAGGCTCATTTAAAACTCCCGATGCTCGTTTCGACCATGTTCATCTGGATTTGGTAGGACCTTTACCAGATTCAAATAGATACTCTTACCTCTCAACCTGCGTAAACCGATTCACGCGATGGCCAGAAGCAGTACCTATCAAGGACATCACTGCTGAAACCGTGGCTCGCGCCTTCGTCGAACGATGGGTAGCAAACTTCGACTGCCCTTCAACTATCACTACAGACCGCAGACGAGAGTTCGAATCTGAATTTATCCATTGTCTGACCACTTTTAGGAACCACTCGCTTCCGAACGACCGCCTACCACCCACAAGCAAACGGGTTGGTAGAACGCTTTCACCGACAACCAAAAGCTTCACTATCGGCTGCAAACGTTTCACAGTGGACCGAAGCTCTTCCACTCGTCCTACTAGGTGTCCGCAATGCAGTGAAAGCTGACATTGGATACAATGCGGCTCAACTCGTTTATGGAACGACACTTCGACTTCCAGGATAATTCGTGGATCCTTCATCCTCTTCAATGAACATGGATCTAACCTCCTACACGAACAGGCTTGCAAACGCAATGCGTTCAGTTAAACCTGTTTCCACTCGACCACAATCAATCGATGTTTTCGTTCAACCTGACTTACGATATAGTACACACGTTTTCGTTCGTCGAGACTCGCATCGACGACCATTCGAATCAGCATTCGAAGGACCCTTCAAAGTTCTTCAACGCGAACCGAAGTACTATATAATCGATAAGAACGAAACAAACGATTGCATCAGCATCGATCGCTTAAAGGCAGCGTATTTAGAAAAAAATCCTATTCACGTCGATCGCA